GCCTAGTGGCTGGTACCCTGGCTGAGGAGCACTCCAATCGTGGCTGCAGAGCAGTGGGGGAGGCTGGTCAACTATCATCGGACCAATCGATGCTGACATAGTTTTCCACGTTTGTTCGCGTCACGCCACCATCCCCGGCATTGGGTGATTCCAGCTGCAGTTATTGGAAAGAGCATTGTAAACAGAAGAATGACAAGGCCAGGTTCGGAGAAGAGAAATGAGGGGTTGGTTGGGGTTGATCGGGGCTTGAAGGAGGGGTTCAGAAGATGTCGGGGTGTCTGGGCTCAAGTGGTGAGTTGAGGTGAATGAAGCTCTGCTCTCTGGTTTTTGCTCTGATTTTTGCTCTGATTTTTGCTTCGCTACCACCGGCTCTGAATAGAGGCCATCGAGAAAACAACACCAACGGAAAAGATCCCGGCCATCAGATGACCGATTGCACATGGGTCGTGTTAGTATAGGCAAAAGTTGTGAATCCATCACCTTTAGCGCGCCAAGATGTCCAAGTGGGGAGCTCCAGCTCCCAAGCCATTTCGTCACAGCGCTTCGGTGGAGCCATAGCCGATGGTTCGCCCTCCGATGTCCGATCCCAACTCCGGAATCACCGGGGGTCGGCTGCGAAAAAAAAAAAAAAAACGAACGACGATAAGTGCGGAGTCGTGATGAGTTAACGAGCAGGTACAGTACCCGGGCAGTACGGCCCCAAAGTATGACGAGCGGATGTGCGTGTTCTTATAGCTGGGTACTGTAACAGCTTATCTGCGCAATACGCAATACGCAAAAACACTTGGCGCGGCGCAATACGCAAAATGTTCGTACGCAATACGCCACACATGATACGCGAAGCGTCCTGCGACAACGACGAGGCTGTAAGTTGTAAGTGAGGTCGCATTGGACGCACTGCGCTGTGTGCATTCATGCCTGGCGGGGTCAGTTAGTTTGTCAATCACAACTCGGTAAAAGCTGGTGTTACCTGTTAGCTTATCAAGCCAAAGGTGTCTTGCATGCAGCTGGTTGTATGTACTCTGACCAAGAAAGAATGTACTAAGCAAGGTATTAACCTTAGCAAATGCAGTACCAAGCGGCTAGATAGTAGGTAGTACCCAAGGTAAGCAGCTTAAAAGCCGCCCGTTGTGTCATGGGCGTGGCAGCAGTTTGTCAGACATCCATTGATCCATCCATCCTGACAGCCGAGAAGCCGCAAGGCGTTTGCCGGGCACCGGCCAGGGTTCAAGGTTCTCTAGACGGCATGACAGTGCGTCATAGCACTGCGTTCGGCTGTACCCTGACTTGCGCCAGGGCTCAGAGCAGCTGTGCTATTGCCTATTTCCGCATCCTTCAAGCTCTGTTTGGCACCTTCAGCTTCAACATGTGACGGAGCGCCTCGCCCTACCAGTCGTCAATCCCGATGGGAGGAGGAGCCAAGACCTCCAAGAAGCTGGGCGGACACTCCTTTGGCAGGTCTAGTCGGCGATCCAGTGTAAGTACCAATCTACAGCCTTCCGGAGAACGGAGTACACGATACGGATTTAGAGATACCTGTCCCATGGATCAATGCATGCGTGATTCCTTTAGGCGCGACCCGATTCCGTGCCATCCTCGACATCCCTTCCCGAAATCGCTGGAAGAGGAAACGAAGCCCCCCACCTGGCTCATCCATGCAGTGGAGATATGTGACTTTTTTTTCTCTCTCTCTTTTCCCACCTGGGCTTCTTCATTCTAGCTACTACCTACCTTGGCAAGCTTGGGTACACCTACCTAGTACTGACCGCATCTGAGGACTAACAGCGCGAGGCTCGGAAGCCTCGGAGCTCGACCTTCATCTTCCCTTCCAGCAAACCCACAGGCAGCGTTCCTTGGCCTTGGATTCTCGCATGATTGATGTGATGACAATCGCAGCCCTGAAGTTTTGTGCCGCTCAGGTCCCGCCCGGCGGGATGTAGCGGCTTCTATAAGCTGCCGCCGCGAGCTGCTTCTTCCTTTTAAGACAGCCACCCACCCGCCTATGACTCTCGTAGAATGAAGCTTTAGTTTTCTTTTGCTCGCAGTAGATTGCGGATTCCTTTGGCCGGACACGCCTCTTCTTCTCCTCCTCCCTCACTTCTCTCTCTCGCCATCCCCCATCTCAAGGCGTCCCTGCATGTGTTATTTGTCGTCCTTGATTCTCTGAACCTGCGCAACGTTGGCGAACGCCTCTTGGCACCTTTCTTTTTTTATTCGTGATTCTAAGCGCACAATCAACCGCGATGAAGTCAGCTGCGTTCGGCCGTAGCCTTGCCGGTATCGCGGTGCTGGGCTTGAGCTTGGCCCTGCCAGTACTCGCAGACAATGCACGCCGTCATGGTGGTGAGATGGAAGGCATGGAGGGCATGGAGCACGCAGAACCAGACCAGCAGGATTCCGAATATCCCCCCACGTACTTTGCCCATCCCGAGCATACCCAGGTGCTGTATGCGCACATTGCGCTCATGACAGTGGCCTGGGTCATTTTCCTTCCAGTTGGTGAGTATCTCAGACGTGATGCGATCCATGTAAGCCGAACAGCTCCAGTGCTAACAAGACCCCCAAAAAGCCGTCGTTTTGTCGCTGGCCAAGTCTCGCTATGTTCTTCCCTCGCAGTTCGTCTTCCTCGCAGCCAATGCGCTGGGCCTGATCCTCGGCACGGTTTACAACGCGCAGACGCCCGACCTGTATCCCAACAATGCGCACCACAAGATTGGCTGGATTGTGACTTGGGTCATTTCTGCGCAAGTGGTTGTCAGCCTGCTCCGGCACATTGGCGGGGCATTCACGCCAAGTGCCGACCAGCTAGCGGAAGAGCGCCGCTCCTTCATCCCACTTCCCACAAGCACCCACTCCAACTACTTCGGCGACTACCGCTTTTCCAACGACAGCGGCCAGGGCTCCGAGCCCACGACGGAATCGCTGCGCGGAAACTCCATCTCCACGCTTGCGGAAAATGATCACCGTGAGGCCAATTTCGACAAGGAGTTGGAGGAGGAAGATGATGATGACCTTGACGGCCCCACTATGCCCATGCCCGTGCCGGAGCACCAGAGCAAGACGACGCTGATGGCCGTCAAGGTCTTGTCTTCGAGAGTCTGGAAGTACATTGACTTTGGATACAAGACCGTTGATCGCATCATCCTGCCCTTTGGCTTTATTGCTTACATTACCGGCATTGCTACTCTTGGTCGCCTTTTTGTAAGTGTCCAACTACCTGATCTCTCGGCATATAAAAGCGGGGATCATTGCTAACATCATTTTAGGAGGGATCTGCCGTCTTCAGCGGACTTGCTCATTGGATCAAGGGCGGTATTTTCTTCTGGATGGGTCTCCTCACTCTTGGTCGCTGGTCTGGAAGCTTTTACGAGTCGGGTTGGGCTTGGAACCTGCGCCCTCAGAAGAAGGCCGGCCAGCGATGGACGCCATCCGCGGAGTGGGTCGAAAGCTTCCTCATCTTCTTCTATGGCTCGACCAACATCTTCTTGGAGCATCTGGGCAGCAGAGACGGTGTCTGGACTCCAAGCGATCTAGAGCACTTCTCCATCACCGTACTTTTCCTCGGAGGCGGCTCTGTAAGTCTCGCGCAAATTCTCTATTCTTTGCCTTCCTCACTTCAAAATTTTTACTGACTGGTGCTGCAATAGATTGGCATGCTCGTTGAATCTACGTGGGTGCGAGGCCTGCTCACCACTTTGATTACTAGCAGCGACTCCAACTCTGATGATGAGCGCGCGGCATTCGAACCCCCGGAATCGTACGAGTTCTCCATCAACCCCCTCCCCGCACTTATCATCTTCCTGCTCGGCATGATGATGGGTGGTCACTCGCAGGAAACCATGGTCGGAACCATGGTCCATAAGCAATGGGGCAACTTGCTACTCGGCGCCTCTCTGGCCAGAATGCTCACGTACGTTACAATGTACCTGAAACCGCCCAGGTCTATTCAACCATCTCGGCCACCGACCGAGCTCCTAGCAGCTTTTGGTCTTATCGCAGGTGGCATGATTTTCATGTACAGTGTGAGTACTTCAATATTTCCCATCCCCAAGGAGTCCGAAACTAACGGAAGCAGAGCGCCGATACCGTCAAGGGTATGATTCACTACGACTTGGAACCAATGTCCCTCTACACGATTACTTTGGGCTTTACAGGCTTGTTCATGTCCTGGGAGCTCATCGTTTTGGCCCTCAAGGGATGGGCGGTCCGCAAGGAGCGCCGGTCCCAGGCTTCAGCCTTTGCTTAAACATGCTCAACATGTTTTCTCATGAAAGTTTTCGACACTGACATGATGCTCACTTCGGATTAGCAAACTCAACCCAAACTCAGAGTTTCAAAAATTTCTTCTTCTATACGACCTTTACGCATATTTTTCTTTCAAAGATACCCTTCATGATACACCGGGAGGCGGATTGGATATCCTTGCCTTTATGATACCACGTTCATTTTCTTTTTTTGCAGCAGAGATAGCAGTAGTAATAAGAGCAGTGTTAGGATAGGGTAATGGAGATAGTCATCCTATAGAGGATGTAATAATATATTTGATGAGGACCAATTGACCTATGATTCGACCACAAAATGGTGTCTTTAACAAAACATGCCATGGCATACCGCAAGGCGACATTTCTCCGAGAGGCTTCTTAATCAGCGACACATGCTGAAGTTTTCGAGGCGCCCCCATTAGTCTCATATGGACGAAGTAAGTGGTCCGTAAGGCATAATTGCTGAGAAGGCAGCCTTGAGGCAGCATCAGGGACCGGGCTCGATTGCCAGTGATCATGGCCAATAGTCTCGGTATGGCAAGTTGCTACCAAGGCACAGATGTGTTGCCATCTTATGCTATGGTTCCACTGAGGAGCTCTGTGAACCCCCTGGGGCGTCTTGTGGTTGGGGAGATGTCACTAGTCTCATGTGAGTTATCGCCGATAAGAAAACCATGGTGAAGAAGAAATTTACCAGAGCGCGAGGTTTAAGATTGACAGCCGGGGGAGGAAGCCAATTCAGCCCTGGCGGTTCTCCGAGGTCTTGAGGACGGCATTCTGCTGAGCAGGAGAAAACTGCTTGGCTCCTTGCTGCAGCGCGTGGACGAGGGACGGCACGGATTCGGCCTTGAAGTCGTCGGCGTTGCGGATCTTGTCGAGGTCCTCGGAGAGTTCTTGGGTGAGTTTTTGGAGGTAGAGGGCTGAGAAGGCGGTTTGTTGGTCTTGCGGCATCTTGACTGTGTTTAGTGAAGTGAGGTTGTTGTAAAATTGAGAGAATGATTTTTTTTTGGCTTGGGTTTATGGCTGGTTATGAAGCATTGGGTTGACAGTGGCTGGATGATGTGACTCGTCCGATTTAGGTGGATGACCAATTCTGCAGAGGAAATGGCTGACATAACCACGGCTACCCTTGTCTTAGGTAGATGCTCTTTGATATCTACAAAAAAAGAAGAAGAGGAAAAAAGAATTATAATTGATTGAGTGCATGAAGATGGGTAGTGAAGAGAGATATTTCAATCATGTCCTATTCAAAAATCAAGGAACGTGAAATAAATAAATGTTTCCCTTATTCCAGAAAGAACCTTGAATAAATCGGATATCTCGAGGTTTGTGACAGTACAGAGTACATGCCGCTGGGCACATACATGGGCAATTGCTCAAAAATCAGTAGACATGCATATACCAGATGAGAAGTGCTATAAGAAATTGGATAAAATGAAAAGAGATACATATATTCTCGATTCAAATATTTCCTATTGTGTCGTGCTTCCATGGGCCCTTTGCTGAGGTTGCTGAGAAGTCACTGTTAGCCGCTTTCCCTAGCCGCTGCTAAGGCAAGGCACGCACTCTATAGCGCATCTGTGCGATCGGCGGATGCGCCATGCTAGTAGCAGCACTCCAGCCGAGTTAATGCGCGTGCCCAAACATCCGATATTCGATTACACACATCTTCTTAATGCCCATCACCCGCAAGGCTGAATACCGTCACCCTACCAATCTCTTCCCACCATCTTCGCCAGGACGCTGCACAAAAGGGCCGCAGACATCGACCCTCGATCCTTGCAAACGGCAATTCGGCCTTGGTTGAGAGGCGCGTCGAAAGTTGAAACTCCAGCGTCAATCGCATCACACACATTCCAACAGTCGCCATGTCCACTCGACCAACGACTCCCGCATCTCCCAAAAATGCCAAAATCAAATCTCCTTCGCCGGGATGTCCAGTATTCGGCTGCGGTGAGTCTACAACCCAAAAAGAAGTCTCCAACCCATCGCATCACTGGCTTACTAACTCGCCTCCAGAGCATGTTCAGCGTCTCCTGTCCCAGAGCCAAGAGGTCATGAATAGCTCGGTAGCGCACTACAAGATGATCCTCCGAGGCATCTTCGATACGAGTCCCATCGTTCCCCAAACTTCAACAAACACGGAAGGCCGCCCAGTCACTTCCCTTACCTCGAACTACCTGTGTCTACAATGCCCAGTTACGGTGTCTGAAGACGATCGGCTGGATCACGGCACCGAGAAACTGCACCGATTCTGTACGTAACAGCTCCGATGCGGCCGATTGAATAATGCTATGCGGTTCATAGTTGCTTACAAATACAGATGTCGACTCTCGCAGCGGTGCACTTTATTGTCAGATATGCGATGACCTCGTTTGGGACCCCACGCTGGAGGAGCTCAGAGTGCGAAAGATTGGAACCGGGACGTTTTCAAGTATGCAAAACCCCAAGCACCGCTTCACAATGTCTTGTTTCTCGTTTCTTGTGTTTGGAAGTTGTCAATTGGCCGTCTTCTCTAGACATTAGTGACCTAATCTGCTTTCTTTAGCGAACCGAAAACGAAAGCACGACGAACTTTTTGCCGACTCGGCCAAAGAGGATCCTCGCCTCATCTCAGCCAACACAACCGTCGCATCGTGCCGAGCGAGTGGCCTTCGCGGCATCTACAACGCAGGTGCAACTTGCTATCAGAATGTCGTGCTTCAGAGCTTCCTCCACAACCCCCTACTGCGCAACTTCTATCTGAGCGATGGACACCAGAGCAGTGAATGTAGCATCTCTCACTGCTTGAGCTGTGCCATGGACGACATGTTCCAGGACTTTTACGCGCTAGAAAGTACTAATGGCTACACAGCAGCCAATATCTTGTCCGGGTTTTGGATTTCAGAAAAGAAGGCGTTTGAGAATCTCGTGACGACCAAGGAGCAGGACGCCCATGAATTTTTCCAGTTTTTGGCCGAGGAACTTCATGAGCGGAATGGCGATGGGAAGAAGCCGCAGGGTGGCAGCGAGCACACGTGCAACTGCATCATCCACCAGACATTTTACGGCAAAATGCAAACAGTCACAACCTGCCAGAACTGCGGCGGCATGACCCATGCGGTCCAGTCCTTCCTGGATCTCAGTCTAGGTGTTGACACGCTGGCACAGAGACGAGCTAAGAAGACGGGTCAAAAGCTGCCAGCGCTTTCACTGAACGATTGCTTGGACGAGGAGTATGTCAAGTCGGATAAATGCGAGTATAGGTGCCACAACTGCGCATCAACACAGCAAGCACGGAGGTATACCAACATTAAACGCCTGCCTAACGTATTATCTATCCAACTCAAGGTGAGTCGTTTTGCCATCAATACCTTGGGTCCGCTACTGACATGTGTCCCCCAGAGATTCGAGTTCAAACAGGGAAAACATGACCGGGCTGCGTCCAAGATTGATAACACCGTTCAATTCCCGCTTCAACTCAACATGCTTCCCTACACCAACCGTGCTCGCAGCCGTGGCAGTCGAGAGGATATGGAATTGGAGAGATCGTGTACCTATGACCTCTTGAGCGTCGTCGTTCACGTTGGCGAGATAGAGACTGGCCATTACGTGTCATATTGTCGAGTTGGGGATCAGGTATGGCCGGCACTCCTTACTCTCTCTGTCTATTCCTTTTCACTAATAAACACAGTGGTTCAAGTTCAACGATCACAGGGTAGAGCTAGCCAAGACGTCGGATGTGCTTGGCGCCCAGGCGTATCTATTGTTCTATATCATCCGGTCCCTCGCCTAGGAGGCATCAATGTCTATGCTATAATCAAGGACACCATACCTACTATACCCACTATCCCTGGACTATGGGATGAATTAGCATACAATCCAGCATACTATAGCTCGTCAATATGGCTATGTGTCTTATTTTAAAAAAGGGCACCTGTCCTGTCATGGCTGTCTATACATCCAATTACCCGTCTACCTCTCATGTCAATATGGTTGTGCTTATGAGATACCCCAGTGGCATCCTCTTTTTTTCCCTTCTACCGCCATTTCCAATTTGGGCACTCGAAATTGGCGTAGCAGTAAAACTCGTTGCTGAGACCTCTTGTATGCTTGGGCTCAAAGGCAGTTGTCTGCACCCCCAGTGCCTTGTATAGCTTGAGAATCAGGGACTCCATTCTTTCTCCGGTGCAGACAATGAGATTGGGTGATGGTCCGCCGCTGCTTGGTTTGAGAAGCCAGCGCACGGTCAAAGCAGCTTACGGCCAAAATTAGTTTATAAATCCAGAAGGAGGTGTTGGAATATCGAGGCGGGAATTTGGTACCTTTGGTCTGGCAGTCTTCGCTTAGAAATGGTGGATCAACGATGATTCTGTCCATGGATCCTTTGAGGTGGCCTGCGTGCAGATGAGATTATTATATGAATCTTGAGTCTTGATGTAGATCTCAAGATAACGAAAACAAAATTGGAGAAACAATAATACATGGGCGAAGGTTCGAGTCTCATACCTGGAAGTTTGACTGGCTGTTGGAAATCGTAAAAGAAAAACTCGGGAAACACTCCAAACCGGTTGTCGTGTTCCAAAAGGACAAGCTTTGGCTTCTCATCATCACTTCGGTCTCGCTGCAGCATATAGAACATGAAAAATATTAGCAACTTTCTCTCCTTCTCATACAGTTTGTATAATTCTGTGGTAACTCACCAAGAGATTCCTGAGCGCGACGAAAACACTCGGCGCGGAGACAACACCGATAGTCATGTCACTGGTCGCATCTCTAAGCAGCTCCGTTGCCAAAACATTGGCAGTTTCTTCTGAATACTATATACGATTTAGCATTTAGCCCTCACTTTCGCGAGTATTGCTGTGAAAGAGCCAAAACGGTTGTAAAACGTACCCAGAACTGAGACTCATTCCAGTCCTCCTGAAAAGTATCTATGGACAGCAGGCTGTTGCTCTCCGCCTCGTCCTTCAGCTTCTGGAACTTTGCCTGATGCTCGTCTCTCTCTGCCTCGAACGATTTCAGCGCCGCGAGGGCATGTGCTGAGAGAGTGCTATATTTCAGCAAAAGTCAGTCATGATATCCCACCCCTCCATTATTATTATATTTTTTGCCGACCCTAGGCCTTTGACAAGAGTAAGAGAAAGGGGCTGTTTACATGGGCTCATCATCGCTGTCTGACATTTTTGTCTTTTGGTGCTTTTAATAGGTGCTGCTTTGGAATAGAGACTTGGAAGTGCCTGTAATGTGTCGAGTCAAATGGTAAAAAAATGTTCGCGGCTTTGCGATGGTTTTGGGTGTGCTACTGTATCTACCAGTTTGCGATGGAAAAGGTACTTCTCAGAGAGTAGAGAGCTGAGTATAGACACTGCATAATTATGACTAGAGATACCTGAGGCTAGGGCGTCAACCAAGTATTTTTCATGATTACGTACAGGCTATGTGTTAATACGGGATACAAGATCGCTGCGAGAAACCACCAAATATGAACTCTCAAAATATTCCAATCTTCTATATATATAAAAAATTGAAGCTTTCTTAATAGCTAATAGTTAAGCGGCCGCGACAAAATGCAAATTTCTACCGCATTGTTTCTTTTCTTTCTTTCTCTTAACCTACCTGGATTTATTTCTTCTAATCTCATGTACTCATACACACATATACTCTCTATCCAAGTGCAAGACTTTTATCTAGCAACATTCTATAGCATTCAGATAGCAAAATCCTTCGTCTTGGTAATAGTTTCCTGGCACTTTGAAAAGATGGCGGCTTGTCTGGCAACTTCTGCAAGCCTGCCAATGACCTGCCCGTTGGCCGTTGTGAACCCATAGTACGCGTACGGAATGTCGACTTCTTTGCAAAACTCAATGACAAGCTTCTGCGCGTCGCGGAAGTTGTGGCGCGGCAAGCGGGGGAATAAGTGATGGATGGCTTGGAACTGCAGGCCTCCGTGAACAAAGTCGAGCCAGCGAGGACAATCGACGTCCATTGTCGTTCTCAGCATCATCTGCGGGAAAGACTCCTGAGGGCCCAGGTCGGCGGTGCTCATGGCAAAGTGTGACAGCACAATCTGCACATGCAGGGGAGAGGCTGCAACGTGGCTCACCATCAAAAAGACAAAACGCGACCAGTTATCGGGTATCGACTTGTACATAATTCCATAGCCGAACCAGATCCAGAAAAACACCTGCCCTGTTAGCTCGAGCCAGCGCTGATATGCAGCCTGGCCCTTCCGAGGTCCCTTTCCGTTGATGATATAATCCCAAGACAGGACGTAGAGGTTGAAACGGCCAAGAGCCAAGAAAGGGTAGTACGTCCACGGCTGAATGCGCAAGAGGATTTTTGCTGCAGCATCATATGTCATAACTCGTTCATAAAAGGTAGACCTTAAGGATCCCAGTAAGCGGTGAGAAACGGCAAAGAGCGGCATGTGTTCGATGTCGGGATCGTGCTCGGGAGCATTTGTCACGATGTGGTGAACGTTGTGGTTGTGCTTCCACCAACCTAGGGAAAGGCCACCAACGAAATCGGCAATGAAGATGCCAATGGTCGTATCAATATAATAGTTGTGCGTAATGCCCATGTGACCAGCATCATGGGCTGTGAAGACGAGCTGATGCCACAAGAAACCAAGTGAGAGGGCACTGATGATATAGTAACCATAGGAAAGAGCAATCAGCATCAAAGCGAAGAGAGAAAAATAACGAAGGCATTCCCAGGCGTATGCCGAATAGTTTGTCTTGTAGAGGCCAGCATCGATAATTTTCTGATGCAGCTCGCGGTATTTGGCAACGATGTGAGCTTGCGTGGCCTCGTCAACAGCGGGGTATTTTTCCAGGTCAAGCGAGATGTACTCGCGAGTGATAACGTCCAAATAAGACATGCCATCTAGCGGCGCCTTGTCCGTAGTTGACTCGGACGAGAAGGACCCCGACCTCGCTGCTCCGGGGCCCGACGCATTCTTTCGATCACGCAGCGACTTTGAGTCAACGTCAAACACAGGCGATGGTGCCCGAGAGCTTGCCGAGCTGATATCCTCTCCGGTTGATATGCCATAGATGCCTTTGCTATGATCCGATTCAATTTCTTCCATGGTTCGAAAGATACCGCCCTGGATAGGCGGCCGGAAGTTCAGCCAGGAGCCCTCAATTCTGCCAATGCGGTACTTGGCCATTCTTTCCTTTGCGTCCTGTGAGTGTATGCTAAAGGTTGAAACAAACGAGCGTTAGCAATTCGTCCAGCACACGCGCCGTCGTCCCGGTGAAGCAGTCCACCTACACTTCGACCCAGTCCGTGGCATCTCTGCCCACCATATGCATGATGGCCTTGGGTCCTCCCGGATGATATTGGAGCCAGCCATCAAGCCTCAAGACATATCCGTGGTGAATAATGATATGTCGTCCGCTAGCAATCATGGCCTCAATCTCATCGCGGGTCATGAGGGGCAGAACCCTCTTTCCGCCAACATCCTGCGCCGGCTGGCGAGAAGAATCATCAGTGGCCGACATAGTGCTAATACATGACAATCGCAACGGTGAAAGAAGGAAATAGAGCAAAGAAAAAGGTCAAGCAGGTCGTGTGGGAAAGAAAACGGTTGAGCCAGAAACCGACGTTGTTGTGAATTCACCGCTTAAAGCCACGGAAGCCGCACGTATCGAACGACTTTGGTAAAGGTACGGAGTAGAATGAGGCGAGGTACAGGCACATATTTACGACAGACGCCGCCACCAAGGTACCCATTAAACTGCGAGTAGTACTAACCCGCTATTCATGGCCCTTTCCGTATTAGCTAAGGGAAATACAGCCAAGGTGAATACTGAATTGATGCTAGTGGGGGGAAGCTAACAGCTAAAGCCAAAGATGCGTAATAGAGCTGCAAGTAGAGAAATACGCATACAAACCCCCCATACAAAATAATCGAATATTATAGGCATTATAGAAATGCGAATTGCAATCGAATTATCAATGCCTTTACAATGAACAATATTTGACAGATTATACAAGGGATAGGAATAGAAAATATCATGTTGGAATGGCTCAATCCAAATGAGAATTCGAGACGAAACTTTGAAACTTTTCAACCATGATTGACTATCAAACTCCATATCATACATCACTTGCGACTGAAGAGACCAACTGGATTGGTAAACGTTTTAATGAAGTGCATTTGAAAAAACCCTAATTGATTCATGATCATAGCCGTGGGGGATTAATGTACAACCCAGACGTACAAAAGCAACCGTAAACCTTATCCCTTGACCCCTTTATGACAACCAAAACGACCTCGAAAGAAAGCGCAAACGACTAACGGAAAAATTACAATTCTTGGCTAGAACCCTTGCCAGTCTTGCCAGTCGTCTTCTTGGGGAGGAGGTCTGTGCAAAAGTCAGTAACCATTTACTTCTTGTTGTGATTTCGGAAGTCTTACTCTGGTGGATGTTGGGTAGAACACCACCCTGAGCGATGGTGACGTGTCCCAGCAGCTTGTTCAACTCCTCATCGTTTCGGATGGCAAGCTGAAGGTGACGAGGGATGATACGGGTCTTCTTGTTGTCACGAGCGGCGTTACCAGCCAACTCGAGGATTTCGGCAGCGAGGTACTCGAGAACGGCAGCGAGGTAGACGGGAGCACCGGCACCGACACGCTGAGCGTAGTTGCCCTTTCGGAGAAGACGGTGGACACGACCAACGGGGAACGCAAGACCCGCCTTGGAAGATCGGCTGGAATGGAGTCAGGTTTGTGTATTCAAGTAGATGAATTGTTTTGATCTTGTTTGGATCAGAACGCGTGTACCGCGTCGAGTGGACTTACGATTGAGCGTTCTTGGAGCCAGAGGCCTTGCCGCCAGATTTGCCGCCGCCAGTCATTTTGAAGTTGGTTTTTGGGTTAACGAAAAATTACTCGAAAGTAGATGCAAGGTGCGAGATGCGGCAAATGTCGGAATGGTAAACGTGCAGCGTGGATAGTTGAGAGACAGTGTAAATGGAGAGGTTTGAGTTCGGCGGGGGGAATCTACGTTAAGTAGTTTTTGGTGCTCAGCGCGCGAGATCACCAATCACCCTCCCTCTGTAGCTACAAATGCGCTAGTCCCGTTTAGGAAAATAGACGTGTCCCAAGGAAAACAATGCGACAATCAACTGGAACTGCGGGGGGGGTGTACAAAGTACATCGAGTACTGCCAAACTGGGTCCAGGCAGAGATGCAGCTAATGCTGGCTCCAGGTACCTAGGCGGTACATGGCTTGGTATCCCGGCACTGAGCTTTCTCTCCTCGCGATCTCTGCCCCATCTTAGAGCTGCTCGTGTTGTGTGAGCCTCAATGTGGTGCTCGTGATGGCTGGGGAGTCTCTTCTCATCATGCTGATGCTATCACTCTAGATTATCGACAGGGCACACTTGCAAACGTGGGGACTGTATGAGGCTTCAATTATTCTATTTGTGCAATAATATGTGTAAGATGTTGGCACTGCGCGTTTGATTCGCTGCATTTCCTACTCAGAAAATGCACTGCAGCAAAGGCATGGATACCGCTCGCTCTGGATTAAATCGCAGCCTGCTTATTGGACCAAAAATGATGGATAATCCTGGGCGGTACTTGTGTATTTTGCTCCAGGGCTTCGTTAATCGTGCCGCTGTGGAATCTCGCGTACCCATTCGTTTTACCTCAGGTCCATTTCTGTGTATGCAGATACAAGCATTGCAGTGTCTATGGAGCCATGATTTTGCTTACATGTTCCTTGCTTTTGATGTAGCTGGTTAATATTGGCTAGGGGAATTAGTCTGTGCCTACTCGATACTGTAATTTGATCCTGAACACGTGCGTGGTCTACTATGTAGCATTTGATGATTGTTGGGTTGAATGGTGTTGTTGCCTCAAGATGGCTTTGTTACTGCTGTGCGAAAACCTGATTATGAGGATTTGTGAGCGTCTCAGCACCTCACTCTACCTTATGCTTGCATGATATGCGCACATGCACATCATTTAGAAGCAATCACTGGAAAATACATGCACGAGCAAGAAGAATTGAATAGACAATGCTGCAGTCGCTGCAATCACTACAGTTACAGGGTAGGCAGGGCTGAGGCAAAAAGTGAGGCTATCCAGGCCCTCGTGCTAAGAGGCGGTATGTACCAGGGCGCGTTCAGGCAGAACACTCCAGCGCGCAAGGCAAAGGCGGGAGGTACATGCGCCGGTGAGATCACAAGAAAAAAGGTACATCCGTCCTCAGCTGGAAGGGGGGGCTGGTGGAGAGACAAGCTGCATCGATAAAAAAGGCTGGGACTAGCCAATCACATGCAGCTGAGCAAAGAAATGGCAGCAGAAAAAAAAAGAAAAACAACAAAAAAGACGCGACTAGACGTTATAGAGCGAGCAAGGCAATCGCATCTGGTGCAGGGACTCGAGCCCCGTTGAGAAATGCGTGATAATCAAAGTGCGCCATGCCGAGAAATGCTTAGTGCAGCATAACTGGAGCACAAGCAGTGACTTGTGAATACATGGTACTTGCAGCAGCGAACCTTTTTTTTTTCGGGCCTACCAGAGGCTGGCACCCTTTTTCGCAGCCCAGCAGTTTTACCGCACTTTTGCAGCTACGAGGGCGTGCACGCGCCTTCGCTCGCGCCACCCCTACTTGCTTCCCCCCCAAGCAAATCAGTAATCCACTTGCACCAACGCGTCCAGCTACAAAAGCCCAGCTCATCCCCAAACGTCTTTCCCGCACCATTCACTTTCATCATCACCCGCTGCCAGCCCGCCCTTTTGCCATTTTGATTATCAACACTTGAAATCTACATCGATTGCATCAACTTAATCCAAAATGCCTCCCAAAGCTGCCGACAAGAAGCCCGCCGCCAAGGCCCCCTCAACCGCCAGCAAGGCTCCCGAGAAGAAGGACGCTGGCAAGAAGACCGCCGCCTCTGGCGAGAAGAAGAAGCGGTCAAAGACTCGCAAGGAGACCTACAGCTCCTACATCTACAAGGGTTTGTCAACACTGGATTTTTTCCACTTCTCTTTATCTGCTTTTGCATTTGGTTCTAACTTGGTACACAGTCCTCAAGCAGGTCCACCCTGACACCGGTATTTCCAACCGTGCCATGTCCATCCTCAACTCGTTCGTCAACGGTAAGCTTTTCTCGCATTCACCTTTCGTTTTTGATCCATTTCAATCGTACTGACTTCAGTAGATATCTTCGAGCGCGTTGCCACCGAGGCTTCCAAGCTGGCTGCCTACAACAAGAAGTCCACAATCTCTTCCCGAGAGATCCAGACATCTGTCCGATTGATCCTGCCGGGTGAATTGGCCAAGCACGCCGTCTCCGAGGGCACCAAGGCCGTCACCAAGTACTCTTCATCCACGAAATAAAGGGTCAAGATGGCTGGTTCTGATTTCAAATCTGAAAACTTGGGTTTTTGTTTGCGTGACTTTAGTGTCTTTACTCGAGACGATGGGTGACTGTGTTTCGCCTCTGGGATCTCTTAATGCGTTACGGATGGTTTGCTTTATGGGGGCAATGTCTTCACGGTCAATGGGGTTCGCGGTTGTACAATAGCTATCGAGGATATCTCGAAGCAATGGTTTCTGCACATTATGCTATTTTATTTTCCTCTGCATCAACAATTACAGAATCTCCTAAATTGTCCATGTCTTCTACCCCTGCCCAAGGCCGGCTCGGGTTCTTTTCATGGTTTGACTCACAGGATGCAGTATACCTTGATTATCACTAGCGCCCAAAGGTGTTCCGGTACTCCAGCCCATTTTCTCAAGCATATTTCGACCCCGGTTTCCACTTCCCAACTCTGGCGCAGACGCACCAATGACCTCACCATCCCGGTAGCTAGTTCCGGCATCATTTCGTCCTGACGGCTTCTGTCGACTTTGTTTGGACGGTTGGGAGGGCCGTGAATATTGTCGTTTAATTCGCATGACAGCCTGCTCAAAAGCGGCTTCCCTATATGTCGTCTTTTTCGTTCGGTAAAGGACTGGTCTACGCTGCTCGCCAGCCCCAATCGACTTGGATTTAATATCGAATTTGTTTGCTAAATCGTGTACCATTTTTCTTGTTCGTTTATCCATTGGCGGCAGATTCAGGCTAGGAAACAGTCAGTAAGATGGACGTTTTCATAGTGCTACGGTATACGTGCGTTTCTTGAGATCCAAGGAGGAACGTTTTCACTTCCTCTGCAACTTGGCCCATGGTTATGCCTGTTGAATATTTCGCTCGCAGGTCAACCTGGCCCTTCTTGCCCAGCAATCCCATAGCTCGCAACTCCTCCCTCTCCTTTTTCCTCTGGGCCTTTTTGAGCCGATCATTGTTGAATGCAGACTGGAGTTGCTCCTCAAGGTCAGAGTCTATGTCATCTCCGAGCAGTTGCAGGCGCCTTCCCTTGCCCTTTTTACGCCGTAGACTAGGCTGTTCCCAGTCCATGAAATCGAAACCGGCCTGCTCTTCAAGGTCATCAAGATCGGGAATATCTTCAAGATCAGGGATATCTTCTGATTCTGAATCAACTTCAACTTCCTTGGCATTCTCTGGACCTGAAGGTGCCGACGGAGGAACTTCAGTGTCACCATCCGTTGATCCACTATCTGAATCGTCATCGTCATCAATTCCCATACCCTCAAACATTTCGCCATTCTCGCGCATGTTGGCGATGTAATCAGCGATCCAAGCGTCTTCTTCGTCCTTCTCCCGATTCCGCCGGCTGCGTGCTTTGCCTCGTTTCTTTGTTGGCCATAGCAGATCGTCGGAATCGTTATCCTCTAATGTAGTACGGAGTTGAGGTCCCCTAACTGCAACTGAGATCTGCTTCTCCACTGCACGAATCTCGGTTGTCATAGACGTAAGTGTGATGCTGGGAGCCTGCTCTTTCGGCTTCATGGCGTTTCGGCCTTTAAAGACAATGACTTCATCGCTAGAGGTGTCGTCTTGAGATCCTGGATCCCCATTGATCTCTTCTTCGGTTGCCTTGGGTGGGAGCATCACTTCTTCGGCTGCTGTTTCTTCAGGTACTGTTTGTTCAGGTGATATCTCTGCAGCTATCATTTCTTCAGGTATTGGTTCTTCAGGTGCTGCTCCTTCAAGTATTGGTTCTTCAGGTGTTATTTCTTCAGACATTGCTTCTTCAAGCATTGTTTTTTCAGGTGTAATCTCTTCAGGTATAATCTCTTCAGTTGATGCTTCGACATGGGTTGTTTGTATAGGTGATGGTTCTTCATCTATCGTTTCGGATATTGCTTCTACAGGAGCCTCTTGTTGGGGCGGGGTTTCTTTGACTGTCGAGTCTTCGGGAGTTGCAGTGCTCTGAGGACCATCCTTTGCGGTCTCTGTTTCTCTCTGTAGATCGAGTAAAGGGTCGTGAGTGCCCGAACTGACGAATGTGACGGGTCTCTTCCGAAGCTGCGTGTTACTGCTCCAGAACGAGTTGTCATGATGAGAAGACTGTCGAGCTTCGTCGAGTAATGTGAAGGCAACTGTGATAGAGACGTAAGTTAATTATGTGCCCCAACGCCCTAATCAGACGTCTCGAAGGAAGCTACCGTTCTGTGCTGGAGTCGCAACATCATAGTTGGCAAAGTTGCCTCTTTGACGAGGCGATTGGTTCCAACCACCCCTCTGTTTCCCACCACGACCACGGCCACGCCACCCCCTCATATTGACTGGTATCTGTGTTGTGAAGGCCGGTGCCAACAATTTGCATGGCACAATGACCAAAAGCGATTCTGGAGGTCTGTTGAAACCATACCCTGGTAGAAAGATACCTAGGCTAAAGTGCAGCTGTGGAAGAGGAATCGCGCTGCCTTCTGAGGCTAGTGTGACTCTTTTCGAGGTGGGGCACCTGTTACATAATCTGTTTCGTCCAATAGCCTGCAATGTAATTGACTTTTGTGCCTTAATTATCAGTGGCATCCAGCCCATTGTTTTTTCCTTATGAGAATCGAAAGGACCGACAATGGATGATTTTTCAGACATTGGAATTAAAAATACTCGATTTTATCTTAGAGGACACTTCAATGAAATGATAATCTGCTGTTATTTTGAATGCACTTCCCTTGTGAAGCCATATGATTGTATCGACCTTTAATCTGCATATTGCCATATTTGGATTAGACTGAAATACTAGCGTGGTGCTCCTCGCAACTTATTTCGACTTGCTTGCTGACTTGTATGATCTTGGTGGGAGGGTCAATAGACAGCGTCAACAACGATCCCGAATTGGCCAGCTCAAAGTCTTCACCAGCTGCTCCCTGCTGCTAATTCGGCCAACATGGTGCTCGCTCTATTCTCGCGGGGAGCTCTCCGCAGTTCCCTCGCCGCCGGCGTCAGCAGCAAGCGATCCCTATCCGATGTAGCAATCACACGCACTGGCAAAACTATTCTACGGACAGAAGGCGGCCGGTAAGCGACGCACGCAACTGATACAGAGACAAGTCAATTAACATCATCTTCCAGGTCTTCTCTCGGAGGTACGATCGCAATATTCCACGCTGGAAGTTCGAGGTTAGGGGGCTAACAGCCTGGACAGGACATACCGCGACAGTCTTCGGTGCGACGGGTCAATTGGGTCGGTACATTGTGAACCGCCTCGGTATGTTCAAACGAATTGAAGCGCATGAGTGTTTGCTAGGGCTCTAACTCTCTATATCTAGCCCGTCAAGGATGCACCGTTGTCGTCCCTTTCCGCGAAGAAATGACAAAGCGACACCTGAAACTGACTGGTGACCTCGGCCGCGTTATTTTTGTTGTATGGCTGCCACAGACGAATTGGATAAATTGGACGAGTTAATTCTGATGCACTCGCAGGAGTACGATCTTCGCAACACTGCTTCCATCGAAGCAAGTGTGAGGCACTCGGATGTCGTGTACAACCTTGTTGGCCGGGACTATCCTACCAAGTACGAATGACCAAGACCAACACTTCGATTCGACGACAAACTAAGTTGTGATAGGAACTTTACCCTTGAGGATGTGCATGTGGAAGGAACAGAGCGCATCGCCGAGGCCGTCGCAAAATACGACGTTGATCGTTACATTCACGTCTCGTCTCACAATGCCGATGTCAACTCACCCTCTGAATTCTTCAGAACGAAGGTATGCGCGGTCATTTTTCACTGTGAAAGTATAGAACTAACTTGCACAACACTAGGGACGTGGAGAGATTGTTGCCAGAAACATCTTCCCTGAGGCCACCATTGTGCGACCGGCGCCCGTCTTCGGATTTGAGGATAACCTTCTGCTGAAGCTTGCTTCCGTACTGAACCTATTTACAGCCAACAACATGCAGGAGAAATTCTGGCCAGTCCACGTAAGTATCTGCAGATAGAACTGTTTGACAGCCACGCTGACATATTCACAGTCCATCGACGTGGGTGCTGCTCTGGAGAAGATGCTGTATGATGACTCAACGGCCGGCAAGACTTTCGAGCTCTATGGACCCAAGCAGTACAGCTTGGCAGAGATTGCAGCTTTGGTGGACAAGGAAATCTTCAAGAAGCGACGACACATCAATGTGCCCAAGGCCATCTTAAAACCAGCTGCCAAGGTCCTGAACGACGTTCTGTGGTGGCACACCATCTCTGCGGATGAAGTGGAGCGAGAATTCATCGACCAAGTCATTGACCCTGAAGCTAGCACATTCAAAGATCTTGGTATCGAGCCAGGTGACATCGCCAACTTTACGTACCACTATCTGGTAAGTGATGCGTTCTCCGAAGCTTGTTACGTGGCCGGTCAGCCATCTAATTTCCTCTATAGCAAGGATTCCGAAGCTCTAATTACTACGACCTCCCCCCTGCCACGGAGAAGGAAAAGAAGGAGGACAAGAAGTACATCCATGTTTTGGATGAGCTATAAACACATCGCATTTGTATATCTACGAGGGATAGTACGGTATATAATACTATTAGAACCAAGAAAAACAGATGCTCTGGACGTGCCTATTGGGCTTTCTTTGTTTTCAAAAGATAGTATTTACATAATTCAAAAAACAAAAAACAAAACAGTTTACCATATAAATCAATATGACCCTGTCAAGCCTGTATAGCCCGGTTGGAGCTGACTTAAAAAAATAAGTATAAGCATATGCTAAATTTACCTAATCCGACCTACCTGGCTGTTTCAAATACGTAGTGCCGCCTTACTCTATTACTCTTTTCTCCGCATTCAAGTCGATCCCTCCATACGACATTCTTTTCCGCCGTGGGAGCCGGCTCATTCGTTCATCCCGCATCCAAACTGCGCCCGACTCTCCGAATTGCAAATTGCACTGCACATGAGGCCTCCAACAAGGCAGTGCTTGAGCTTGGAAGTGAACATTTCCAGAGCATCGCGGTTTTTCGCACTAGTATCGCCTGGGTCTCGGACATTCCCCACGTTAAGCAGATCGACTTCCGTCTCGTCCATTTCAGTCGGCTCTCGCGCCTTCAGATCGCAAGCACGTGAGGTCAATAAGCAAGTGACCACAAACACTTACGTCTGCGACCATCCAACTCCGGGATCTTCGCTCGACGGACATTTCAGAGCCCAGCGCAGCATCTTATATTCGCCTCTGCGCAAGCCGATCCGGACCAGCCGCGACCTCGATCTTCGCAGCAGCGTCACATTCACCACCGGCGCCGCAATCGTTCTCGCCGTCGTCACCATCTCTTACCTTGCGACAGCCAACTTGCGCGAGCACCCAGCAACTACTGCGACTCCGGAAGACATTGCGATCGCTTCCCCGCCATCTGACAGCATGCCGGAGCAAATCGCACCTGGGCACGTGGGCAACCTCACCCCAGAGCAGGAAGAGAAGCTGCGCCAATTGTGGCAGGCCTTCTTCCAGCTCTGTGGCGTCCTCGAGGACGATGCCTCTGCCAGTACGAATACGGCAGCCCATGGAAAAGCGGAACCGGCAGAGGGAGAGAAAAAGAGACGATTTGGCGTCTTTAAGAGGAAGGGAAACGAAAAGTCCGCCGCAGCGAGCGAGGCCGCAGAAGACGACAAGTATGGCCAGACCAAACACTTCCAAGAGGTTCTTGCGACCAACAGCCCCGAGGCCATTCGCGAGACATTCTGGAGCATGGTGAAGCATGACCACCCAGATGCCCTCGCCTTGCGCTTCCTTCGAGCCCGCAAGTGGGATGTGGACAAGGCCCTGGTCATGTTGGTGTCCACCATGAGCTGGCGACACAGCGACATGAAGGTGGACCTTGACATCATGGCGAATGGCGAGGAGGGAGCTGTCATCAATGCGCGGGAGGGCGAGAAAGATGCCAAGAAGGTTGGCGAAGACTTCCTGGCACAGCTTCGTATGGGTAAAAGCTTCTTGCATGGTATGGACAAGCAGGGCCGACCAATTTGCGTGGTGAGAGTCCGCCTCCATCGCCAAGGAGAGCAGTGCGAAGAGAGTCTGGAGCGATACACCGTTTTCCTAATTGAAACGGCGAGAATGGTGTTGAGACCACCTGTTGATACAGCAGTATGTTACTCTGGATTGGGGTGTCTACTCGATATTGTGGATTTTACTGACCATGCCGTTAGACTATCATCTTCGATATGACTGGATTTTCCATGGCAAACATGGACTACACTCCTGTCAAGTTTATGATTAAGTGCTTCGAAGCCAACTATCCCGAGTCTCTTGGAGCTGTTCTTGTTCACAACGCACCGTGGATCTTTCAAGGTAAGAAGATAAGACTGCTTATTTAAGAGGGAGAACAGTTACTGACTCTGGCGTTAGGAATCTGGAAGATCATCCGTGGTTGGCTGGATCCAGTGGTGGCAGCCAAGGTTCATTTCACGAATAACAAAGGTGACCTGCAGGAATTCATCGAACCCTCGCACATCCTCAAGGAACTTGGAGGTGATGAAGACTGGGAATTCAAATATGTGGAGCCCGTCGCTGGCGAAAATGACCTGATGAAGGATGTTGAAACCAAGGCAAAGCTTCTCGCGGGCAGGGAAAAGCTTGTCAAGGAGTACGAGGACGCGACTCTACAGTGGATACACAAGGAAGGCGAAAGCAAAGAAGTCTTGACTAAGAGGGACGAACTGGCAACACAGCTCAAAGATGACTATTGGAGACTCGACCCATATCTGCGCGCGCGCTGTCTCTACGACAGACAGGGAATATTACAGGGTGCTGCTGGGGCGAACTGGTATGAACTGGCAAGGGCAGCGACTGCTGACGGGAATGGGAATCTAGACACATCAATCAACGATGTAGATTAAAGAAACGGCCATGCACCGGGAAAACTTTGGATAGATTGGGGTCCTGCGGGTTCTATGGAAGATAGACATATATATAATATTTTCATTGTCTGCGTACCTCGCGTAAATCATACCATCCTAATATTGCTGGCCGGCAGACCTGTGATATCACAGAGCGAAACTTACATCTTGGCCTTGATATCCTCACACAGAGCTTTAAGCTTCTCCATATCACCGCTGGTAGCGGGCCAGGAGATGCCCAGGCCTTCAGTTTCATTGGGCTTCGGAATCTGATCAGAGGGCATTAGCTAGAGTCAAAGGCTGGGGCGTTCAACTGATCAAGGGTAGTGGTCATACCATGTGGAAGTGGACCTGTGGCAGTCAATGTCAGCTTGTCATTCACTCAGCACTTCACTGTCACGGTATAGTTGAGGCTTACATGGTGCACTTGCTGGTGGGCAATGGTTCCGTTGTTTTGAAGGATGTTGTAATCGGTGGCTCCAGTAGCCGTCACCAGCTTCTTGAGAGTAGGCTGAATCAAGCAAACATATGGTTAGCAAACGAAAAAGTAAGTGAAGCAACTAACAGATGTGTTACCAGAATTTCGGACAGCTGATCGTCGGGAATATCAGCCAGCTTTGCGCCATGATACTTCGGGATGACAAGCTAATTAGACACAGCGTTAGTAGTCTGTCAGTGAGCTCGATGAGCAGGGCGAGGTTTACAGCATGGCCCTTGCTAAGCGGCCCGATGTCGAGGAAAGCAAGCGTCTTTTCGCTCTCAAAGAGCTTTAGAGCCGGGATCTCGCCTGGTGTAAGATACTGTTAGTTCTGTTGTAAGAACGGGAGGGGTAGCTCGTCTTAATAGTGGCGTTTTGACATTTTCGTCTTGCCAAACTTACCCTTGATAATGCGGCAGAATATGCAAGACATGGTTGCTTCTATGTGGGTGGTGATTGGTGATGAAGAGGACAAATTATAAGTTGGGTATGGAAAATGAGCCTGATGGTGGCAGTAGGTAGTGGAGAGGACTGACTTGAGGGTAGTGAGTGACAAGATACTACTAATATGAAGAGGGGCTTGTGTACGTATTACATCACCTGCGACAATGGTATTATATAGCGGGTAATGTAAAATAAAGTGAATATCGAATTAAAATCGCTACTACTAATGCAATTCCACATCGACTTTATTGATGTTACTTTTTTTTGTGTAGGCGGTAGAATCTATTCCTCCACCCACTCTTATCTCTCTTATATGAATCAAGTAGCTCACCTTTACTAGACGTGCACTTGAATTTCCTACCCCAGATTACGTACGCATGGCGATTGGATGAAAACAGGTGTGCTTGCTAGAATAAATGCATTATTTTTTACTATATACCCATGATCTAATTTTGGCGCAAGCAAAGTCCTCAATGCCCATTCGCGTGGTGTGGGGGAGCTATCAAATATTAGCAGTCGAAACAGGCGCAAGGTGTGCATTCGCTCACGGTCTAAGATCGGAGATGGTAGGTTTCGCTCAAATTTGGATCCTGCTCAATTAGCTTCTGTTTTTCCTTCGTATGCGCGATTGTATGTGTCGACTCACCTCCTGGTGCGGTTGGCGGAACGTATGGGTCGGGGTGTTTCCAGCTTTCGAGTAACTTTTCTGTCTCCGCTAACAGGGCCTGGAAGAGAGTTAATGGCGGCCCTCCATTGAAGCGCGAATAATGTTGACTGACTCTCTGTTGCCGAGGATCTGTGACCTTCTTGTTGGCCTCAAACAAGGATCGAATATAGAGCGCCTGGCCTCGCCATAGGTGACGATGGACAGCCCAGTCCAGCGCAAGCTTCAATGAGCGACGGTATAGTGACCTAGAAATTGGACATTATCGGTTAGAATCGAGTACTTCGGCGGTCGCAGGCTTGATTGATGTGTGTACTGACAGAGCAGCTTGTCGCGTCGTCATGTTGGCTAGATGGTGGTCCTGGCGAAAAGACCGTGGTTTGAATTGACAGTAGATCTCTCGGAGGTTGACGGTTGGTACACAGAAGTAGAATTGTCTGCCTTACGCCGAACTCACATTCTAAGGCAACAACACGACCCGTTAGCCGGCCACGCCTGTAGCCTCTTGCTAAAATACGTAGTGTTAATCCCGTTAAGGAAGTGTTTTTTAGTATTAAATAATTACAAAATCTTTAAGCATTCAATTTAAAACTACAATTAAACTATATAAATTTTTTTTTTAATTATTTTTATATAGAAAAATATAATTAAATATTTAATAGTCATTATACTGAATATTATTATAAATAATTGTTCTAAATAAGAAATTAATTCAGCTTAGGTATAATAAACTGTAAAAACATTGAACTTATTTTAGTTTATAGAAATCATCTTATGTAATAATTTTCACTTGTTGCTTACATTGCGCTTCTTGCGTCGAAACGCCCTGGACCGCCGCGATTTAGTGCATTGAGATTTACCTGATCTCTGTCTTGGTACCTACCACCTACTAAACTCCCTAGGTGCAGTAGCTGTGCAGTCTACCAAGTGCCGGATACTTGGGGGACTGATTCGACTGGCGCACGAGCAGCGATGCCGAGTATCCAAGGCTTCAATACCTTGAGGGCAAGATCATACATCTTTCGCTTACCTTTATTTACCCGTGCTATCCTACTGGCGATAATATGTTTCTGGCTGGCTAGCTTGCCGGGCTACTGGGATGTGAGGCTCTGGGGCTCTCTGATCCCGGACAAGATGTCCTTTGCAGCAGGTAATCAATGTGCTCTGAAATCTAGGATGGCTGTGAATGATCTGACTTGGCCTTAGGATACCGGTTGAATACATTCCCTCTTATCCATCTCAACTTCCTCCATGCAGTTCTCAATGTTGTTGCGTTGACGCCATTGATGGAACGATTCGAAAGCGAATATGGAACACTGACTACACTGGCACTTTTCTTCGGACGTAGGGATACCATCTTCAACCCAATCTTTGTGCCATTGGTCTAACGGAAGCAGCTCTGACTACGATTCCTGCCATTCTGTATCTCTTCATTGAGATTGCCATTCTCCGTGCCAACCATGCCGTCATGGGCGCCAGGTAAAACTACCTCAACAATGCTCAGGAGTAGCGAGAGGGATTCGTTATACTAACTTGGGCTCGGTAGCATGTGGGTGTTTTTGCTGTTGGGCATGGAGGCGATCCGAACGTATAAACAAAACCCATATCTGGTCATTGGGACATATCAACTCCCTACTTGGACTACGCCTCTACTCATGATAGTGGTTGTTGCCGCGCTGCTGCCAAGCACTAGTTTGTTGGGCCATCTTTGCGGCGTTGGCGTTGGCTATATCGGTATGGTGTCCAACTTTGCACATGGGCCGTGGATCTTACAACTAACAACTGCTTTGTAGCTGGTCTTGGCTACGTAAAGTTGCTCGCACCCCCAGAGTGGGCACTTCGATGGATCGAATCTCGCCTGAATCTCCTTGCCATATTGCCGCACTATGTCAGCGTTGACCAAAAGACATATGGTAGATTTGGCGTTTTGCCCTCCACCAATCGCCCTGTTGGAGGCGCGTCGACAGAGTTAGTAGGAGTGGGTGCTTAAATATATGAGCGGCTTCATATGACGCAGCCATTTGGATGCATATTACGCGGTGTTGACATTCGCTTACTTTGCGAAGCTGATCGTCAGTCAGAACAAAATGGAGTGTTGTTATGGGTAAAGCGTGGGAATGACAGGTTATTCGCGGCTCAGACGTTGATTATACATAAGAGTTCGTTATGAAGGATAACCTGAAGCCATACCGAACATACAATGTCTGATAAGAAATAGAAGGCATCATTCAATTGCTCCCGTAAGCGTTTGGTGAATCGATTCAATAAGCCACATTGTAATGCGTCAGTTCTGGTGGGGCCTTGCCTGCGTTACGTGTAATGCGGTACCAAGAAGTCCGTACTGTAAAACTAAAAAAACGGGCTTGGAAGGGAAAGGGAAGACCCATCAAATAATTCCGGGACGTACCTGTCGCATGTCACTTTATTTTCATGCACATGGTCTACTTGCAAGATCCAAGTCCTGATTGCTCTCTTTCTACGATTTAGACGTCACCACACTACGAAGAGGACACCCGCCTTGAAACCGACTCGCTGCCCATCTGGGACTTTGGCCCTGCTTCTATGCAATGCTCAGCAACAGAGATAGCACCGCCCTTCAGAAAACCTATGATTCAAGTTACCTAAGTTGTTCAACGGCTGTGTATTATGAAGGCCAGGTAAAGCGATGATGGACCGCCTCATCTCGTTCTGATATGCTGTTTTCAACTACTTGCTCAGGCTGACACTTCGTTTTCCCTTTAGGGCGATGAGAGCGAGGCTACTCGACATTGGAAGGCCGCACTTCGACGCATAAATGAATACTACGCGTCGACAAGCGCACCAAGAGTCTCCGGAACATACACCGATACGGATGCTGCCTTGATAGACGCGGTGAAAGAGCTGGAGTTACAATGCAAAGAAAGAATTGATCTCTTGGAGGCGCTGAAGTTGTCCAGGCAAGACGGCGTCGCTTCGCCGTATCGTGACAATACCGCACAAGCCACTGGCAGCTCCAGCCAGGTATCGGGGACCATAGGGCAAGGCTCTATCCCTGCGGTAACATATTCCGAACTTTCACGTCCTTCGTTCTCGACGAGGAATTCACTTGAGGCAATGACGTCATCTGAAGAAGCGATTAGGAGGATCCATAGCACCCCTGCCGATTCAACTCAACGAGTTGCCTACTCGCTTCCCACTTCGAGAACCCCAGATTTGCCTGATATGCGAAGCGACAAGGCGGCCCGGGCTCCAAGCCCTGAGAAGCGTACTATGAGGACTACACTGCGATCCAAGAAGACCAGCGATCGATCATCTACTCCTCGTAAATTGAACAGGCCTGCAGCGGACGGGTCAAGCAAGGCCGCGACCATTGCGTGGAGCACTTCCGGATCTCGAGACAACTTCTTAAATCCCTTCTCTACTGAAGGACGGCTATCAAAATCAACCCCTACTCCGCGTCAGTCCCTGGATCGCAACACCCCCGGTTCGCAGAAATCAACGATATCATATGACTCGAGGTCTCAGCGTACATCGCCTCAAAAATGGAACATGGTTCCTTTGTCTGATGAATCTCGTCTCCCACAACCTTCGGTTCTGTCTATTAGCGCAGCGTCAAGTGCTCTGACATCTTCGTCCAGCCAAGAAGCCTCCGCGTCATTTCAAACTCCAAGTAAACCAGAGCAATATGCAACCCCCCGGAAGCCCCCTGTCTTTGAAGATGTGTCAGTTCAAAGTAAGAGACCAAGTGCTAAGGCTGGCACTCCGGAAATGTCTGGAGGACAAAGGGAATCCAGTACTTCCAGGAGTAAGAGGATAGTTATGGACAGTCCGCTTTTATACAAATACGACACAGAACGAGGGGATCGGTACCGGGACGATGTAAGACGACCATCCTCCGAGTTTGCTACTCTGAATCAAGTTGATAGCCGCTCAAGTGAAGAGACTGCCGAGGGTACAGCATGGGGGGCTAAAAACGATAAAACACCCAAGAAAATGACAAAGGCAGCCATTCTCAAGAATCTGCCGCCTGGGATAGACGAGAGCGCTGCGAAGCAAATCTTTAACGATATTGTTGTACAAGGAGACGAAGTTCACTGGAGCGATATTGCGGGCCTGGAGGTTGCGAAGAATTCTTTGCGGGAGACTGTAGTATATCCATTCCTACGCCCCGACCTGTTTATGGGCCTACGCGAGCCGGCTCGCGGAATGCTCTTATTTGGACCGCCGGGAACTGGAAAGACGATGCTGGCTCGCGCAGTTGCCACCGAATCCAAATCCACCTTCTTCTCCATATCTGCCAGCAGTCTAACAAGCAAATATCTGGGAGAATCAGAGAAACTAGTGAGAGCGCTCTTCGGTCTCGCTAAAGCGCTTGCTCCTAGTATCATATTCGTCGATGAAATCGATTCACTGCTATCTCATCGATCGGATGCTGGCGAGCATGAGGCGACTAGGAGGATCAAGACCGAATTCCTTATCCAGTGGAGTGAGCTCCAGCGAGCCGCAGCCGGCCGAGAGGCGGATAGCAAAACGAGCACGCGAAATGAAGCTCAAAGAGTCTTGGTATTGGCCGCAACGAATCTACCATGGGCAATTGATGAGGCCGCTCGGCGACGGTTTGTGCGCCGACAGTATATTCCTTTACCGGAGCCCAAGACGCGGGAGACACAACTGAGAACATTACTACGACAACAAAACCACAGCCTGTCAGACGAAGATGTAGAGCAACTTGTACAATTAACGACTGGTAAGCATGCTTTCTCCTTAGCACTCGATTACGTTAACAGTCACTAAACTGCCTTATAGGGTTTTCGGGATCCGACATTACAGCTCTTGCCAAAGATGCAGCCATGGGGCCACTTAGGTCTCTAGGCGAGGCCCTTTTGTATATGACAAAGGAGCAAATACGGCCCATGGATCTCTCAGATTTTGAGCAAAGCTTAAAATCCATTCGGCCGAGCGTAGACCAACAAGGCCTACGGGAGTACGAAGAATGGGCCGAGAAATTTGGCGAGCGTGGTGGTTAAAGCTGAACTGAGCTGAGTTGTCTACCTGCGTCCAGATACAGCATCCCTTCCGCTCAAGACAAGGTTAGCATGTGCGCAAACTACGGCAGTACGCGATCGAAATATCAAGTAGCAGCTGTGGTGTGTGTTGCGAGTTCTGTCAGATCGATTACGACCGACGTCCGTGAATTCATTAAGAGGCGCTATATTGCTAAACTCTTACTCGGTTGTTGCTGGAAGCAAATTATGAGCATCCCTTTGCCAATAATCTCACACAGGTGTAGCCCTGGAACGATGCTACCCGATCTATTCATACAGCCATGTTGCGCCATGCCAACTGGAAATTGTGATATCCGATGTCCTCTGTCCTTTGTCTTGTGCCCTCCCGGTCATTCCTTCTGTTCCTCCTTGTTGTTTATTCTTCGTTCAGCCTTGACAGCTCGCTTGGCTTCTCGTTCGGCGATACGCTCCTCTAGTGAGGGAATCGGCGACCGTTCCTCGACTGGAGTGCCATAGGGCGCAATGATGTTTTTGATAACGTGTCGCTTGTGTTTGGAGGTCGGCCAGCCGGGAACGATGGAGACGACGTCGCCAGTACGAAGGGAGGAGTTGGGATCGTGCACGAGGTAGTGCTTTGGCTCTGCAAACCACTTTTGGACTCGTTAGCGGAAGGGGATGAAGCGTGGCAATCGCATAATCACACACCTTGTTGATGACTTTATTCCATTTTTGACCACCGACTCGAACCTTGACGGTTTTTTGCATCAGACCAGCAGATACAACAATGCCATGAAGCTCATGAGTCACGCGCCGGGCGGCTTTTGCAACTTGTGAAGACATTTTGATATATATCTCTTAGTTTAGGTGAACAATGGTTAAACAATGCCAAACGATCATTGCTCCAAAGTCATTGACTGCTCTGTGGACCGCAGACAATCATCATCCCACTAAAAGTTTGCGACTAGCTGGAGCATACACACTCCAAGCCTTTTTGGGGGTTTGTCTGCACGCACTAGCCGCAACGCTATTGGATGGAGGAGAGGCTGCCGAAGTTGGCCCGGCATTCTAAGGTGCGTCTTATCGATTAGAGTGGGAGGCATAATATATGTACCAGGATTTTGTTGCCTTCTATAAGGCCTCGTCTATAAGTTTCAAGCATGGTTTTAGGGGGATATGTATTGGAGGACATCAAATAGTACTAGATTGTTATTCTATGAATCCAGTAGTATATACGTTTTCTTGGCTTAGAGTTTGTCGTAGATTTATAACTGAGATGAAGCAGAAAAGAGAGACGGCGCTGTTCTCTTTTGAAACAAAGTGAACCAATCATTAACTCGTAAAAAAGGCCTGTCCATCGAACTTGCATTAATGGTTCTTGGCCTGGCCGAAAAGCCCCCAGTCCTTGATGACAAAAGTTTCCCAGATGCGAGCTGCAATCTCGACAGCGTCTCCGATAAGCTTGCCCTGCTTGCCCAGCTCCAGATCAACCTCCTCGGCGTCGTACTCTCCTCTGATGTGAGGCACGTTGATGGTGATGAGAATATCTGTGTCCTGCTCTTCGAGGCGCAGCAGAGTCATGGTGAGGGCCGTGAAGTCTGGAGCGGAGCTTTGGTCGCTGGAGTGGCTGGCGTTGGGGGTCTGCGTTGCGATGAGGGTGTATGCGGGGTGTTTCAACCTGATTTTCCCCCTGCTTGTTAGTGAAGCTGGGATGGCGCACAACGGGCGTGGGAAAATAAAGAGGGCGACGTTACTCTTGCATGCGCGAGAACTCGGTCTCGGCCGTGTTCCAGATCTTGACCGTGTTGATGTCCGAGCCGACCATGTCCTCCAGATGTGTGGTCATGGCGCGGCCGTCAATCTCGGGGCCGGATCCGGGCTCTCCAACGCGCTCTGTGATCTCGAAGATGATGCTCGTGAAGCCATCCTTGTCGATCCAGACTTCCTGGTTGTCGGGGACTTGTCGCAGTTTGCTGCAGAGAGGAACATGAAGTTGCAAGTTAGTTAAAGTTATATTTCTAGAATGCGCGCGACAATGAGGCGCAAGGTTTTTGCTGACCTGACATCTGCAAAGTGTTTCGGCAAGTCGCAGGTGATGGCGCCGCCGTAGAGGGGAGTGCTTCTGTATTTTGACATGGTGGTTATCGGTATCAGTGTCGGTATCTGGCTATGAGAAAGAAATTATAATTATATTCCGCCGCCTTTGGTGGAATGAGTACGCGATATTCCAGAAGCTTGTTCGCGCAGTTGGAGATTTAGCAGGACGAGTGCTAAGCTTAATACCACAGTGGGGTAATTAGATGACATCACAAGACGCTCCGCCGTCCATGCGCGTAATGCAGCGGTTCAGCCTCAGAGAGTGCCTTGTTATTTATTCTAGCACTGAGCGAAATCGGGGCTAATGCACTATGTAATCCAGGTACTTGAACGCTATGCCATGGCAATATATTTCATTATCTTGGTGTTAATATTTGGATAATATTATCATCTATAAAGTGAAGTAGCATTTAATATTTATATAAGAGCATCTGAATGATTTATTTTAAAAGTGGGCAACAAGGGTAGTGTGAATCTAATGACTCATTTCATAGAGTCAATTATCTTGTTTATACTGCTCTTACTCCAAGCCGGTATACGGAGCATTTTATAGACCTAGCCAATTAATTTTGCCCAGTGCCAACCTACCAACTTGCAGTTCCAATCTACTTAAACCTATAAACTTCAAACATTGGTACCAACTAAACCTCTTCTATTTGGAATTGGCTAAGTAAAATAGAGAGGTATTCATCATTTCCGCAATGCCCATAATCTCACTTGGAGAGTCGATACCTCCAGACACTGCTCATGTAAGTTGTTTCTCAGTCTGCAACGAATATAAACATTCATGACAGCCTTGACTAACTCATGCCATCCGCAATCGAAATTACAGGCAGTCAGTGTCTCATTGCCAACTTGGCAGGCCAATGTCGGTTATGAAGAAGGCGATGCTCAAGTTGTGAGCCGTATGGTTACTGGCTACCCTCGGTGAGTGAGATGAGATGCATCAAACTGTCTGTTCGCGTGCAGCCTTTGCTTATTCCCCTGACAATTAGATTTTTCATTCACAAGAGCATTCAAGCCTTTGCTCAGGACATTCTGACCGCCTATGGACGTGCTGGTCAAAAGGCCATGCTGTTTGCCACGGCTGCCGCTGGTCAAAGATGTCTAGAGTTTATGCGTCAGCGTGTGACTCCGCAAATCGCCAAACAGATCTTCGTGGTTAATCTTGCTCTGGATACGTCCAAAGATCTTTCTCCATTGCTGAAGCAGCTGGCGCCCACCATTTCTGGCGTCATCTTCCCAGAGGAATCGTTCCCAGTTGCCAAAGAGTACTGGCAACATACCGGCGATGGAGTCTCGAGTCGACGGGCCGAATTCTCCCATGAACTATTTAAACTTGGCCAGTTGATTCCAATTAATGAGCAACAGTACCATCACGCCGTTCTAGAGAAGCCTGTGCGTGGCCCAAAGCGATATTCAAGAGCCAATTCCACCGGGGGTCCCAATGCAGGTGGTTCCGAGAATAAGGCTCCTTCAACTTCCGAGAATCCGGATGAGGCTCGTGAAAGTTTCCATTTCCTGGAAGAGCGGTTTGGAAGAAATCTAAATCTTACCCAAGTAGCCCGAGCAAAATCGGCTATTCGCAGAAGAATCGCAGGTTCTCTCGCTGGCGATGCCGACATGAATGATGAGACAGAGACAAATGGCGAAGCTAATACCCGTGGCATTGAATCTCTCGATGAGACTGACGTCTTGCTTTATCCTTGTGGTATGAATGCCATTTTCAACGCCCACCGCGCTCTCGTGGCTGCCCTGGGTTCACACAAGAGCATCAACTTTGGATTTCCCTACGTCGATACGCTCAAGATTTTGGAGAAATTTGGACCGGGCTGCATCCTGTATGGATATGCCTCGTCGGACGAACTTGATGACCTTGAGCGCCTCCTGAATGATGGACAGCGCTTCCTTGCCCTCTTTTGTGAATTCCCGGGAAATCCGCTCCTCGCCTGTCCGGATCTCAAACGGATTCGCAAGTTGGCAGACGAGTACAATTTTGCCGTCGTCATCGATGAGACTATTGGCACATTTGCAAACGTCAATGTCCTCCATTACGCTGACATTGTCGTCAGCAGCCTGACCAAGATATTTTCGGGGGATTCGAATGTCATGGGCGGCTGCACGGTCTTGAACCCGGAGGGCAAACATTACAGTCTGCTGAAAAAAGTCTTTGAAGAACAAATCTACGAAAACACGTATTGGACGGAGGATATCCTCTTCATGGAGAGAAACAGCCGCGACTTCTCCAGCAGAGTGAAGCGCATCAACGTCAACGCGGAAACAATATGCGACATCTTGCGGGATGACCCTCTTGTCAAGACTGTGCATTATCCCAAGTACAACCCTTCAAAACCCAACTACGAGGCATGCCGCCTCCCTGATGGTGGATATGGAGGCTTGCTCTCCGTCGTGTTCCACCACCCCGAGCACGCCCAAGTTTTCTTCAACAACCTCGACACTGCAAAGGGACCAAGTCTGGGAAGCAACTTCACGCTCTGCTCTCCTTATGTTCTTCTGGCCCATTATCGGGAATTGGATTGGGCTGCCAAGTATGGTGTAGACCCAGACCTGGTTCGTGTTAGTGTAGGATTGGAGGAGCCTGAAGAGCTACAGCTTCTCTTCCGAAAAGCTCTCGAGGCCGCAAAAGCAGTAAGCGTTGCGTGATAGCAACGACATCAGGCATTAGGATGAAAAATACGGCAGCAATCATGGTGTAAAATTTGTAGATAGCCTGAAACCAACGAAGTAGCATCGTACAGACGATGCTGTGAACGAATGCTCAACGCATCCGGTCATTGTGCTCAATTTGTTTCTTCCTCAACAAGATCACATATAGTGTTTTATAATAGTTAGCAGGCACTGAGTAACCAAAACGCACGCAGGATTCTTAGGAAATATATAACACGCCATAGAAAGGGGTATTATCAGTTATTATTATCTTTCTGGCATCGTAATAAACATTATCGTTTCATAAACAGCGTTCTAAAGAGCACATGCTTGTCGTTCAGCACCTCACATGATAGCACATTCAGACCGTGTATAACCTTCTCCAAACTCCTCTACCCCCCGTTCTAAGTCATTAGCTCGTTGCTTCTCCTTTACTTCTGGAAGGAAGTATTTTCTCATAAATTTCTCTAATTCAGCATCGATATTATCTATATGATGTTAGAGTGCCATTCGCGTGGTACATAGTGCTTCACAGCATACGCGGGGGTTACTTACCAGCGGAAGCATCCATGACTACATGAGCTCGGCACAAGGGACAGCACTCCTCCTTGCGTCGCTGGATCTTGATAATGCAACGAATGCAGAAAACGTGTTGACAGCCCAGACGCACTGGTTGATATGCAATCGAATAGCATATTGGGCAAAGATAGTCATTAATTTGGGGTATAATGGAAACCAACTCGTTGGAAATCCGGGCGCACACTTCCTTGGCAATATCGCCCGACAATAGCTTTCGCGGGTTGACTACGCTCGGGAAGGCACGCGAAACGCCCAACGCAGTGCGTTTATCAAATTCTATGTCTCTCGTTAGCTGATACTCTACCCAACCAACGGGCAAACTGTCGCCTTACTCTTCAATATTTTTGAGATTGCCAACATGTTTAGTTCCTGAAATTGTAGATGTTTCAAGAGAGTAGCATTCAGCTCAAGAAATTTCGAAAAGGCATTTCGACTTTCCGCCAACTTGAATGACTTGACAAGCTGTTGTTTGTGGACCTGGTTCTGAAACCACTGCAGCTGCTGGAGAGCTTTCTGGCTGGAGCGAGCTCCGTGTTCTTGCTCATGCGTCGCGAAGAACACTTCCGCATCCAAATACAGCTCGAATATGTGCCTCCAGCGGTCGAGGTCGCTCTTAGAAAACCGCGTCGGCCGGGACACTTGCGAAACTTGTTTCCCTATCTCTTTAACCTCTTGTTTCAGCTGATCTTTCTCTGTGGCCTGCAGAGCATCCAAGCCGCCTAGATCGCTCTGGAGAATGTCAAAAAAGACACCATCAGATCTCAGGGGCACCTCTATGACATCGTAACTTTCATGGCCTGTGTGGCTTCCGTCTGCGAGAGGTTGCGGTGTTGCACGCGCCGCTTCGTCGCTCGTCTCGGTGTGTGAGGTATTGGCTGGTTTAGTTTCCTCATCGCTTTCAGAGGAGTCGACAGCACGCCTGGAGGTGATTTTCTCGAAGAAATGGCGCGTGGTTGGCGCAAGCGACGCATCGATAATGTTGCCCTCATGCAAATGGATTTGTACCGTTAATTTTGGTCGCACAAGTTTAGAGCTTGAAGATGCTGTGTATTTCCATAATGTTAGCGACATCGGTCAAAGACATCCCTGTTAAAGAAAAGGAGACAGGTAGAATGATCTTTCTAGAGGTAGACATACGGTTGAGACTGTAATTCAAGGCGACTGGAGAATCCGTGTTGGCATGAAGAAGTTCGCGCAAGGTTTCGGCGTCAAGTCCCAGCTCTTGAAGCTCTCGTTGGACTTTCTTGAGACATTTCTTTAGCTGGCCATATGGGATCGCATGGGCAACCCAGTGAGGCGGGAAGCCTGAAACATTATGGTGAGCAACTGGAAGATACTTGAGGCGCAGCTGGAGCAACTCTCAGCTAAACCGAAGAATGAGGAGAATGGTTTACCTTGACTAGCCAGCGACTGCTTGAGTTCATGGGCGAATTTCATGGCATCTGTCAATCATGTTATGAGCTTGTCACTTCTAAGTTCCATGCCAAAAGCTGCCACCCCTACCCTTCTCAAGTAATAGACCATAGACATGGTTGTAATAGTAATAGTCTGTATGATATTGTCGCAACCCCAAGTGGAGAAGGCGACAGCCATAGAATCAGCCCTATCTGTTCCTGTTCACCGATAAAAGCCGGCCGGTATTTTAGGCAAACAACGGAGGATGGGAGTGAAAGACGAATAAATTTCGTAATGGGCTAAGAGGAGACAAGAAAGCAGTGTGTATGATAATTTACATATTTTTTTTTCTCACGTGCAAGACAACTGTTTTCGTCGATACTTCCCAAGTAAGTAATAATAATTAATGCAAACAAATGATTTTTTTTTAATTCCTCGTGGATTTGCCGATCCTCCTCCGATCTGCTCTTCGATTTTTTCCCCTCCAGCGCTAGTGGGTGACATTTGATTTCCATGTTCGTGGCCAGTGTGTCACTGCCCCACTCCCATCCTCCCAACTCGGTTGCTCGGCATCCACCCATGTCGAAAGTAAACAATGCTCTACAGTATCGCAAGCATCGCATGAGCAGCTCTTTATGTCCACAGCTGTATCGTATCATGTTATGACATTATGACAATGACGAGTACTCAAGATGACGACCCCTTTTACGGCAGTGATGACGAACTTCCATCTTTGGATGCGCTCTTGACGCGAATTCCCGGCCGCATACAACAGCAGCTCTCGCAACCAAAGCCTATTTCGAAGCCCATCCCCACAAATGCCATCTGGATTGAGTTGGAAGATGATGATAGCAGCGTGGAGAATCAGACTACTGATAAAGAAGACTTCATCTACAGCTTGAGCGATGCAGAACCTGAGAAGGCCATCCCGGCCTTGGTAAAGGGAGAAGTACGGAAGAGGTGGCAGTCGTCGTCAGAGAGGTTTGATGATGATGATCTAAAGGGGGAAGAGAAAAGGCCTTCTCGACCTCTAGGCCGATCCACAAGCACCCAGAAATCCAAACCGCACGAAGTCGATATTCGATCCCGCAAGCCCCCCAAAACCAAGAACAATATACCCTCGAAAATCGAGTCACAGGCGTCAATAAAGCAGCCTCAAGGCCCTTCGGAAACAAGCAATGGTGCCCCCAAAAACACAATCTCGAATGCCAGTGGCCCAGCATCGCGATTGCCTCAGTCACAGGCTAACATATCCGAACGATCTCGTTACAATGGCCAAGAGGGACCATTAACACAACATCCTCGTAGCGTATCACCAAGCCGGAGTCGAATCACAAAATCGAGTCGTCAGCCGCACCTTCCTAAGCACCAAGAGAGCAAAGATATAGTTCGGCCATTGCCGGAGCTTCTGCTTGATATCCAGGATGGGATGGGTGCTAATACCCTGCATTTTCCCATCATGCCTCCCAAAGAGAGCAAGCAAAAGAAGCTGGTCTCTTCCCATAGAGAAATTCATGCTGAAGAAGCATCTCAGGAGCCAGCTATTGACACTGGCCGACTCCAGGACTTTATTGATGAATGGGATGAACCAGAATTGGATCGTAAGACCAAGTCTTCTACTCAATCAACAGTTCCAAAATCGCCATCAAAAAGACAGACGAAGAAGTCGTTTGACGCCATAAAATCTCAGCTGGCAATAGACTTTCTCCAGCAGCTCGATACTCAAATCACACTCGGTAAGGTTGGAGAATTGACCCAATCTACCGGGGGAGTCAAGATTGTGTGGAGCAATACTCTCAAGACAACCGCCGGTCGAGCAAACTGGAAGCGAGAAACTATCATCTCCAAACATATAGGCGACAGCGCCAAGGCAGACGTGAAGCAATATCGGCATCATTCTTCCATTGAGCTTTCCGAGAAGGTCATTGACGATGAGCTGCGCTTATTGAATGTCATAGCACATGAGTTCTGCCACTTGGCAAACTTCATAATCAATGGTATTACGGACAATCCTCATGGGAAAGAATTCAAAGTATGGGCAGCGAAGTGCACCCAATTGTTTGGTTCACAAGGCATCAAAGTCACTACGAAACATTCGTACGAGATCGATTTCAAATACGTGTGGACTTGCACAGCATGTGGCTGCGAGTATAAGCGCCACTCTAAAAGCATTGATCCCAAGAGGCATCGATGCGGTGCTTGTAAGGCTTCACTTGAGCAGACGAAACCAACACCGCGCCAGACGCCAGCGGGTCAATTAAGCGAATATCAATTATTTGTCAAGGAACAAATGAAGGTTGTTAAAAGCGAAAATCCAAACAGCCCGCAGAAAGAAATCATGGGAATAATCGCAGAGAGATGGACCAAGGTGAAGAGCAAAGATGTATAAGAAGCTGTTTATGAATGCTGAGATACCAGCCCAATGAATTATACCCAATTTTTCATGTAATTAACAAATAGAATTGGTTTTGATGACTGTATATATCCATCTATACCATATGAATGTTGCACCTTGCCAATCTTTTTTCCGCTCTTATTAATGAAAAATAGTAACGGCGATACGTGGCATGCATGCATAAGGCACATGCATGGGCAAAGTAGCTTAAGCTGCTTGGTTGGGCTTTCAACTTCATCTCAACTACATTCAGACGTCCCAAAGCCAGATACACAAGCTCTGCTCAAATAACCATCCAGGGCCATGGCTCATCGGCTGAATGAAAACTCAGCGGCCATCTTCTCGCCATCCGTCGCCCGCATCGCCGCATCCACCGCCCGAGACTGGTCCTATGTCGACGCCTGGCTTGCGTCTAAATCGCCTGCATGGAAGAACTCGCTGCCGTCTTTTGAGCGAAACCAGGACACGCTCAAGGCCCTGCTGGCCCTCGTGTCGCTCAACGAAGCAGCCGATGATCAGCGCCGCCTCCTTGCCCGGGTCGATGCCACGGCTCTTCAGGCGCTGAGCGCCCACGACAAGGCCGAGGCGGGCATTACGGCCAATGGCACCACCCTTACCAAAGGCCATTTGCTCGATGCCATAGAGCACAGCCTGCCCAAGGACGGTGTCAACGCTCTGGATGTTCTCACTGCCGTGGCATCTGAGGCCGCCACTGCGAGCGCGGATCCTGATCATCTTGGCAGCCTGATGCTTCGTCTTCAGGGCACGGTGTACGGGGCTGAGCAGACGGCAGCCCGCGTTGATGCCTTTGACCGCCAGCTTCAGAGAGAGGCCGAGGCGGCTGAGGAGCTGCTTCACACGCTGCAGAGCGAGAGCTACAAACCGCCTTCTGACCTAGCAAAGCAGAACCTGGATGTGCAGCGCAGAATCAAGACCGTTTCTGCCCAACTCCCTGATCTCCATGACCGTGTCACCGCTCTTGGTGCGTCCATTGCGACGCCGTATATGGCGATTGGCGATGTCATTGAGCTTGAACAGCGCTATCAAGCCTTGCTGTTCCATGCGAGGGATCTCAGCGAGCAGATTGCCGCTCTTTCACAGGAGTAGGTCTGGTGGGCCTTCACCTCCCCCTATTGATGTGCTAACATGTTAATGATTTTGGCAGCACTCGTGGTCATTGATACTAGAATCTTCGCGATAAACGCCATTGGCATCTTATAATGGGAACATTCATGCTGCAGTCAAAGGCGTCGGCTTCAACTTCGCACAGATATAGATCGCTGTTTGCATCCACTATTTATTTCCCAATCTTCACTACTCTGGTATCTACTGATTTCGACGGTTCTTCCCCGAAACGGCACCTCCTAATCTCCCAAATTGCCTTCCAAGTCCCGACCTTTTCACTGGCGGTGAAACCACTGGTGGTGCCTGGTCTTTCAAAGGTACAGGCGGGCCAGCAGCACCTCCTCGCATGCCGTCTCTGTTTTTGCTCTCCGGCGATGTCTCTCCTATACGGAATTCGCTCACTCCAGCCGAAAGAGTATCCTCTATCTCAATGTTGGGTCGTTGACTTCTCCTTGCTCTGTCCTGGACACTGCGAAATTTCTCCAAAAGCTCAACCCATCGTATGGCACCATCTTCTCGCCCCTTCAACCTATTTGGTCGGTCATAATTTGAAGAGGCCGGCGTTGCTCCCATGCTATGTCCATCACCACCAGTTAGCACTGAAGAAGAAGGAAAGGGAAGAATATTGGAAAGCTTTTATTCCTAGTTTGAGGATCCAGGATGTCGGCCAATCTTACCTTCGTGGAACAACTTGCAAGAACCCAATTGAGCTTACGCTATTGAGTCGGTTCTTCAACGCAGCAAAAGCAGAAGACTGCGGCAGAAGCATAAGAATTCCGTACATGCATTTGTACAAGTACGGGTATTTCTCAGGTTCAAGCAGTTGCAAGCGCAAATCTTGTTTTCTACAAGTTAGTGGATGTGTGGTCACGCATACTCCTGCTCTCAAACGGCTCAGGCACTTACATGTGAAGACGGGCGATTCAATTAGCTGGACTAGCTTGTCGACTTGGATCAGCATATTGACTGTCATGTCCAATTCACCACTATTCAAATATCAGCGCCAAGTGATAGAGACTTCCTGTAGATAGAACTCACAAAATTTGTAATAGATGATACGCCTGTTCATAGGCTTGGGAAAGTAAACATAGGGAGAATGTCGCAACTGCATTGTAGCACCACGACCTGAACAGAGCCACAAACAAAGTCTGACCATCCTACACGTTGTGTTAATCGAAATGCTCTCAGTGGTAAGATTTAAAGATGGAAAAGGTCGGGGGCAGGCTCATAATAGACATAGTTTTATACCTTCGTTTCAAGATTTCTCAACCGCTTGCGTACCTCCGCGAGCTGAGGTGCCGTAATCAAGTTGTTATTCAGATTTTGCACCATGATGCTAGCAAATTCTACGTCTTCCTCCTTTTCGATACAATCGGCCAACGTTCGGTATATGCGCTCTGGACTGAGGCTGATACAAAGTTGCCGGATGATGAGATTACCTCTGGTTTCGAGCAGCTTGCGATCTGTAGAAAAAAGTTGTAGCAAGTTTACCATGAAGCTGGCAAAGTAATCGTCCTCGCTATTTCGTGAAATTTGGGACAGCAGTTGCAGGTCCCTGGTGACAACAGCATCAGAAGGATCCGAAAGAGTCTTGAGAAGGGCCGGAAAGGTGCCGTCGTTGAAGGCTAACACTTTGCGCGGCGCTTTCCTGTGCAGCATGATAAGCCAAGTTAGAGCAGCTACACGTGTAGCTTCGTGGTCATTTAGGAACAGTAGAGTAAGCGAATTAACAGCAGCGGTATAATCGAGGTTCGCTTGAATTTGTGTGGCGTCGGGTGTGGCGATTGCAGCGGAAGACATTCGACCGCTGCCTGGTGTTACGCTACGTATCTCGTTGTCTCTAGAGTTTGATATCGATACCCGGCCGAGGCTGCTATTATCTTGCTTGTCTTGTGATAACGAGAGTCGGTGATTCATCGAGACTGTCCCTTGGCTTGCGTTGACATCAGATTCATCAGACAGAGATACCACGTAGTCCATGAGACAACTGTTCACTCTGGTCGCAGCGAGGCGAATCGTCTCTTTGGTGCTAGCCATTGCAGGAAGCATATGCGCCAGGATCTTAGGCGTAAAAGGCAATACTTCCTCGGGGCAAATATCGAGAAATTCAACAATCCATCTGAGCGATTCAAGGAGACAATCTTCCTCTTTAGCATTGTCAGCATCAAGTCATAAGATGGCAAGTATAGTGACCAGATGAGATGCAAAACGAACCTAGTGGAGAATCAAGCGTAGCAGTAAGGATGTCCAGTATCTCTTTATAATTGATTTCAACATCCTGGCCGGGGATCCAGTCCTCTTCCATGCTGTCCTCATCGTCGTCGTTCAAGGCATCGGAATCAAGCTCGTCTCCCTCTTCCAAATTAGGACGGCCGCCAGCGCTGTCGATGGATTCTTGTCGCTTCCGCTTCCCCCCTTCTTTGAACTTCTTGTTCTCAACTAGTCCTCTTTTAACTTGGGAGATTCTTTTGATTTCGTTAAGAAATTTGTCAAGGCAAGTTTGTGTGGCCACTCTAACGTCAACATTTTGATCGCTGAGAAACTTGAGTATCCCACCAAGAAATTCCGGTAAGTAGGTGACCAGTTCTAAGTCTGGGATCGAGTCTAGAAGTGTGATCCAACCGACAAGGAACTGTCGAGTGAAAGGATTGATGACATGGATGCGTTCTTTGAGTAGTGGGATGAAGCGCTGCAGTGAGAAAGCTGTAGGAAGATTTTGTGGCTCTCCGCCAGTGCCATTATCATCGTCGAGGCTGGAGGTTTCCAAAACCGAAATGTAAGAAGCGGCTGATTCAGAGACGATGTCTTTTATGAGTCGATCCAGGAGTTCAGCTCCATTCTTGACTGACAGTTCAGAGTCCGCTCCAAGCTAAAAAGGCGGTGTTTTCGTTAACAAGCCAGTCATTTCGGACTTTTACACTCCCTCATCAGCAGACTAGGTTAACCAACAAGCATACCTTGCATAGCTGATCAAATATACTGTTGAAATAGGCCAAGATCTCTCCCTTGGCTACCTTGGCTATATTGTACATAGCCTCGCAGGCATAGTATCGAACTCTCGCATCCTGATCAGTGAAGCAAGCAAGCACAGGAGGCACGATATTTACAAGATAGCGAGGTAACTCCTGCAACAAGTGTCAGTGATGACACGATCGAGCATAGAAGCCTTTACAATATGCAAGAGTGATGTGATTCAACAGAGTATGACACAGTGGAAACATGGTACAGCAGGCAAGACGAGATAACAGCAGATAGCGTTTATAGATCGCTTGTGAGGTCGGCAATCGAGCTATGCAGAAAGTTGAACATACCGTACCGAGCGCAATCGCCGCGGCGGCCAAACCAATCAAGCCTCCATTGCGAGCATGTGGCTGATGAACAGCGTAGGCATAGTCATTACACAGCTGTTCCAGAATCTCTTCAACGCGCTGGAACGCGCCAGAGGCAACAAGATCTCGTATTATCTTCTCAAGTCTAGCATACAACAAAGGTAAGCACATATATGTCAATGCATCAACAGCTGGGCAAGGCCTATGCCATACTCAAGTGCCCCAACCTTGCGCTTATCGTAGAGTTTGTCATTCAGCGCCCGCTGGATGTTGGTATCCATATTTCTAAATATCTCATGCTTGGTTCGGTCGGAGAAGACGAGCAATAATCGAGGTTGCGAGCGATGACGATGGTCGATATGTCAGAGCGGGCGTTCTCTGGGTGTGCATGTATTGCGTACCATTTACATAAGGCACACACGCTACGAGGGGTTGCTACACCGCGCCACTAGCATCATGTGGTTCGCAATTCAAAATATGGAATTAGGCGTACAACTAAGAGCACCTAAAACGAAACGACGTCAACAAACTGAAAACGATGGGTTCAATACCATATACCAGTAATAATAAGCCATTTTGCATTAATTTCAATATTATTATTATTATTATATATTTAAACAGCTTAGAGAGTTCCCAAAGTATAGTTTCATAATTCGCGTGATTCAGCATGTCTGCACGCAATATGACCTCTTTTTTTTTTAATTGATTTTTTTTATTTTTTTTGCCCTTTATTATATATACTAAACATGGGAATCACGAGTTACATACAGAGTAAACGTAAAAGCACATTATGACTCCCAACGCATCTGAGGTCAACAGACTACCTCGACGGGTATTTTCCTCGCTTTTGGCAGATCACGAGATTGTGGGCCTCCAAAAACACCGCCTTTCGTTTTCTTCAAAAGGTCTTTTCTCTCTCTTTAGTTCTTGGACTTCTTGGCCATGGTGTTCAAGGCGCTTCCGTTCTTGAACCACTCAATCTGGGCCTCGTTGAAGGTCTGCAGCAGCTCGACCTCAAAGGGGCTGCCCTCCTTAGGGTGGACAACCATGGTAAGGGGCTTTCCAACGGCGAGCTCGGTGCAAGGAATGTCAACCTACAACACGCATTAGGATTCAGTTTTTTTTACGCTGGCTATCAAGGGCGGGGAGAGCTTACCTTGTCATCGGGCTTGATCTTGTCATAGTCGGCGGGGTTAGCGAAAGTCAGAGGAAGCATACCCTGCTTCTTCAAGTTGGTTTCGTGGATACGGGCAAAGCTTCGGGTGATGATGGCCAGGCCTCCCAGGTGACGAGGCTCCAAAGCAGCGTGCTCACGAGAGCTACCCTCGCCGTAGTTCCAGTCACCAATGACAACCCACTTGATACCCTTCTTCTTGTAGTCACGGGCAACAGCGGGGACGGCATCCCATTCGCCGGTGGTGAAGTTCTTGATCTTGTTGGCCTCGTCGTTGGCCTCGTTGATGGCACCAATCAACATGTTGTTGGAAATGTTGTCAAGGTGGCCACGGTACTTCAGCCAGGGTCCAGCCATGGAGATGTGATCAGTGGTGGTCTTGCCTTTGGCCTTGATCAGGATAGGGACATCCTTGGCGTCCTTGCCATCCCAGGGAGTGAAGGGCTCCAGGATCTGGAGACGATCAGAGGTGGGGCTGACCTGGACGTTGACGCTAGCACGCTCCTTGGGGGGTGCCTGGTAGGTGTTGCGACCGGCGTCATAGCCCTTGGCAGGGAGACCATCGCCGGTAGGAGGCTTAAGCTTAAACTCCTTGCCATCCTTGCCAACAAGCGAGTCGGTAAGGGGGTTGAAGTGCAGAGAGCCAGCAATGGAGAGAGCAACAACCAGGTCGGGAGAGGTGACGAAAGAGTGGGTGGCGGGGTTGCCGTCGTTGCGTCCAGTGAAGTTCCGGTTGTATGAGGAGAGGATGGAGTTGGCGTCACCCTTCTTCACATCCTGGCGATCCCACTGACCGATGCAAGGGCCGCAAGCATTGGCAAGGACAATGCCGCCAAACTCCTCAAAGGTCTGGAGCTGGCCATCACGCTCAATGGTAGCGCGGATCTGCTCAGAGCCAGGAGTAACAGTGAAAACAGCCTTGGACTTGAGACCGTGGTCGAGGGCGTCACGAGCAATAGAGGCAGCGCGAGACATGTCCTCATAGGAGGAGTTGGTGCAAGAGCCGATCAAACCGACCTTGAGCTCCTCGGGCCAGTTGTTGTCCTTGACGGCCTGGCTGAACTTGGAGATGGGAGTGGCCAGATCGGGAGTGAAGGGACCGTTGATGTGGGGCTCGAGCTCAGACAGGTTGATCTCGATAAGCTGGTCATACTCGGCACCCTGGTCCTCGCGAAGTTCAGTAGCGTAAGCACGAGCGAAATCTCCGATATCCTTTCGCTTGGTAGCGGCAAGGTAATCGTACATGCGGTCGTTGAATGGGAAAAGAGAAGTAGTGGCACCAATCTCGGCACCCATGTTGCAGATGGTACCCATACCGGTGGCAGAGATGCCCTCAACACCAGGGCCGTGGTACTCAACAATGGAGCCAGTGCCACCCTTGACAGTCAGGATATCAGCGACCTTGAGGATGATGTCTACAGGTTGCAACGTTAGTAAGGATGAAAACCAAAAAAAGCTCAGAGTTGTATCGACATACCCTTGGGCGCAGTCCAGCCAGACAGCTGACCAGTGAGCTTGACACCGAGGATCTTGGGGGCCTTCAGCTCCCAAGGCAGGTTGGCCATGACGTCGACAGCGTCAGCACCACCAACACCAATGGCGGCCATACCAAGACCACCACCGTTGGGGGTGTGAGAGTCAGTACCAATGAGGAGACCACCGGGGAAAGCATAGTTTTCAAGGAGAATCTGGTGGATGATACCAGAGCCAGGGCGCCAGAAACCAATGTTGTACTTGGCACAAGCAGAAGACAGGAAATCGTAGACCTCCTTGTTGATACTAATGGCGCGCTCAAGATCCTTGGCGCCGCCAACTTGGGCCTCAATCAGATGGTCGCAGTGGACGGTGGTAGGGTTCGCGACGGAGTCCATGCCAGCGGACATGAACTGAAGAATAGCCATCTGGGCAGTGGCATCCTGGCAAGCCACACGGTCAGGGCGCAGCTTGAGGTAAGACTTGCCTCGCTCGAGCTCCTGGTTGTGAGGGTCGTCCAAGTGAGAGTACAGGATCTTCTCGGCAAAGGTCAAGGGTCGGTTGAGCCGGCTGCGGACAATAGAGAGGTTCTCAGACATCTTCTTGTAGTTGATGAAGTTGTTCTCCTCCCAGTTGTTCTGGCGGACCTGCACGTGGGAAAAGCGTCAGCGCGAAGCCCCCGAGCAGACAGAATACAGAATCGACGAGACATGTAGAACGGCCTACCTTTCGGTCGAGAGCAGAATCAGAGACGGTAGCCAGACGGCGAACGCTGCTGGCCGCGCCACGGACGGCGCGGCCCCGAGCAATACTGCCCAGAACCTGTCTGGAAGCAAGCATGGTGGCCAATTGAGCGAGGGTCTACAGACTGCAGTCAATTGGAGAAATCAGTCAACATCAGAACGAAGAAAAAGGCCTTGGAGGGGGGGGGTTGTTATAAAGCGACGAGAGTGGAGAGTTGGTTTTGCCTGGGTGGGGGAGAGGTGTTTTTCGGCTGCTTCTGGGGCCAGTCGCTGTCCTCAGAGAGGTAAAAGATGGAGCCTCACGGCCGGGATAGCAGGATATGACAGAATGTGCGGCTTAGAGCTGGCATGGCCCTAGGCAATCTGGCCACTCACAGGCCGTCTAAACATAATCCCTTGGCCCGCGTCGTCGCTTGTGCCGAGCTAGACCTCCCCTCCTCCAGCCGAGAGCTCAGGTTGTAATTTTTTTTCTCTCCCTCTCATTTAGCCTCCTGCTCAGTACGGGCTGCCCCGTATTATCTCGGGCGCTTTGACGTTACAACGTAGCAGGGCGAACCTTGCTGATCTATACGGGTAGGCATGAAGCAATAAATACGGAGTGCGGAGTACCTTGTGATGGTGTTATAAAGTTGAGGATATCCCATGGTAGGAGGCATGTAAGTCGTAGTACAAAAGACAGCAACCACCGGGTACCATGGTGAATATGTTATTGCGTACGGATTAGAGCCTGACGTATTGCAATCCTCATCATCCATCCCAAAGCTGCGTGTTTTCAGTGTGCCCTCCATGTTGTAACGCTAATTTGCAAGTGTGCAAGCACATCATTACAACATGCATCAGATGCCACCTCCCCCGGCCTGCTGAATATGCGCAGTGTGGTAAGCATGTGACGTCGCAGAAGATACTCGTGCCAGCGCCATCGAGTGGCTGGAAATCGGCTGTCCCTGAATCGTCTCCTCGAGGTTCATTACAGCAACGCAAGCCTAGGGCGGCAATTGCCGTGCAGCCAAAATACTCCGTGTTCGCAGGCAGGATAATGAAGTAGCCGTGTCTTGCCTCGGCATGAAGCAGCCGAATCATCGGTCGCCGCTCCAGAGGCTCGCTTTTGCGAAGCTCTCGGCCATACAACTCGGAGCCCGACGTGGCGTTAGACGGAGCTCCGTTCCTAGTGCCGCAGCAACGGAGATGTTCGTACACAATCTGGCCCGTGCCTTGAATTGATGTTAGTCTGCCCAGGACTCCGTAGAGCTATCACTTCTAGTGCCATCGCAAATTTTAATATTCGCTTATAATAGACTGTATCTCGGTGGTAGTATTTGATTGAATCGAAATCTAGCTACATCTAGTCTAGTCTAATGCGATATGTATTGAAATACAGCTGAAACCTCACTTCCGGCGTATTCCTGCCGAAGCAACAAATCTTGAATAGGCTGCAGCCCAGAGTTGACAAAGTGGTTCCAAGTGCTTGTATCGCCATATAACATGGCGGGGGCCTTGATGAATTGTCGACCATCAGGCTTGCATCTTTTGCACTTGAATGTATCGTGGGTGTCGCTGGTGGTTTCAGGACGATACTGAAAGAGTTCTCTAAGACTATCGAGGGAGAAATGACGCTCCACGTCTTCAGCAGAATCTACCACGCACGACGATAAGCTTTGCTTATGAGACTGTCTCTGAAAGATTTTCTCCTCGATGGTGCCAGTGGCAATGAAGCGGTAAACGAAGCAATCCTTCTTCTGGCCGTCTCGCCAAACTCGCGCCAGGGCTTGTTGGTCGGCAGCGGGATTCCAATCCGGATCAAAAAGGACAAGGCGGTTTGCTCCAATGAGATTGATTCCACAGCCTCCTGCCTTGCTGCTCAATAAGAAGATGAATTCATCCCCATCTGGGTCGTTAAAGCGGTCAACCAGTTTTTGGCGTTTGTTCACATTCATAGTTCCGTCGAGACGTAGGCATCCATATTGGCGTTCTCTGCAGAGACGTTCAAAGAGGTCCAATGTAGACGTGTAGTTGCTAATGAGGACAATCTTGTCATTTGTGTCTTCTCGAATCTTGGCAAGCATTCGATCGAGGACCAGCATCTTTCCCGAATACCAGGGTTTGATATCACGATCTCTTCCACGAGCCTCCCTAGGAACGTAGTCCTCTGGGAAGCATTTTTCTGAGCCAGGCAGGTCATCTGAAATATTCAGAAGGTCGGGGTGGTTGCAGAGCTTTTTGAGAATGTTGATGGCTTTGAGGGGCTGACTACCCTTGCCACGAAGAAGAGCTTGGATATCTGGACTGGTGATAAAATAATTGTAGAGATCGATCTGGAATGGAGCGAGGTTGCAAAAGACCACATGCTCATATTTCACCGGAAGGTATTTGGAGAGGATGTCGTTTGTCCGTCGAATCAAAAATTTGTTAACAATACCGAGCAATTCTCCAGTGCATTCGTCTCCGCGCTGGCGATCATGCTCTGAGGCGTCCGCATCTCGCCCACGCAAAATGGGTATCTCAAAGCGCTTTCGGAACTCCAATCGAGATCCAAGTAGATCTGGATTAGCGAAACTGGTCAAGGCAAAATATTCCGTAAGATCATTTTGAATGGGTGTACCGGTGAGGATCACTCGTCTGGTAACATTTAGATCGTTTAGAGCGCTGAATGTATTGCTGTCTGCATTTTTCAAACGATGGCCCTCATCGCAAAACAGAAGTCCGATCTTGGTGTGTTTGAGCTCTTCAACATTGAGGCGCAGAGTCTCGTACGAGACAATGATGACTGGCCGAGTGATGGATCGGCCAGAGGCGATCGCCCATTGACGAAGTTGGCGTTTCAATTCTTCCTTTGGTGCCTTGCCATCAATGGCAAATGGATTGATAGCATTAGGACCAAGCCATTTTGTCAGCTCGTTTGCCCAGTTTTTCACCAGACTTGCGGGGCAAACCACGATAGCCTTTTGTATTGTCGACTTCCCACCAGTAGGAGATTGCTTCAGAAGCGTCCACATGAGCGTAATGCACTGGAGCGTCTTTCCCAGTCCCATCTCGTCAGCCATGATGCATCCGTGAGCTTTTTCATCGACCAGCCCTGTAACACATTTATACATGAATTTGACTCCTTCAATCTGATGAGGGCGGAGACATTTAGCAATCTTAGGATCAATGACAACCGGCACTTTTGGATGATCTTGCTCCACTTCCTTCTTGATGCCAAGGATCTCAGCAAGGCTTTTATGCACAATCGGGCTGTCGATTTTCGAGGACTCCGCCTCTTTTTGCACCACGGTTTCCGGAATTGCATCAGGCTTCGCATCAACTGTTGGGTCATAAAGAACAATGGCAAATTCGCCGGATGGATCATGTAGGGGCTTGGGGACAAACACGACCCCACGTCGCAGACCAAGTGTTGGCGGTGGTCTTGATGCGTCGAATGCCACCTGGGATTTGTCCTTCAGAGGAATAGAGAAGGCTTTTCGAAAAACAACATTCTTATCTTTGGCTTGGAAGACTGGAAACTTGGGCGATGCCACTACTTGGCGACCAGCAGCATCATATGCCGTATCGATGCTCGTTGGTCCGTTTTCATCGGCTCCTCTATAATCGACCTTTCTTTTTTTCCTGGCTGGGCGATCCGACGCGGATACTGCAGTAGCCGCCGACGGACATTTGAACGGTTTCCGAAGTTTGTCAAGATTCTGAGGCCTAGGAACCTGGTGATTCAGCTTGCTGGGGGGCTTGTCCTTCAGCGCTGAGATTGATGGCGCACTAAATTTGTCAATAAAGGTAGTGCATCATGTTAATTGTTGCAAAGAATCACATACGAAGCTGACATGATAAATGAGCGCAATCTTCACAAGCTTGTGCACGGAAACAAAACAAAACACCGGCGCTTCTAAGCAAATTCATACATAGGTAGGAAGTGAGTAAGATGACGCGTTTCCCTGAGCTGTGTCGCGCGTAGTTTGGCACACGAGACTTTGACGCGATATCACGTGACTAATATAAACATTCTGGAATACCTACTTAGACAAGGCATGCTGTGGAACACATCTCGTAGGATTCTCGATGATGTGACGCAGAGAGGTGGGTATGCATGATGCATTCAGTTTGATTGCAATATGTGTTAATATTTCTAATTTGTGACTTTGCTCTTCTCTATCACGGGAAAACGAATCACCAAGAATGTTCCGCCAAGGCATTCTCGATCCATGACAAAACAAGCGGATGCGCGACTGCCAATTCCTGATGTACCTAACCAGTAAAGATGAAACCCGCTGAATGCCCTCTAATTAAGCCTCCGTGAGCATTTTCATTTGATCTTTATTGCCTATATTTACTTCATTCATGATCCACTCGTATACAGCCCATTGAATGGCATTCACCACGAAGGCTCTGACACTGCAGATTGATAGGCCTCGGAAAAATGGACGAATTCCGCCCTCTCTGTAAGTATCCGTCATCACCTGCCATGCTCCATACCGCCTGTTATTTTTGCTTGCCATGCTCGTTCTGTCGTGCCTCAGAAACGGCGTCTCATCCGTCGTTGGCCGGTAGGAATATTGCTGTGTCTGTAGGCGCGACTTGATGACGTCGAGAGGAAACACACTGGCCCAAGTGGCAATTCCTGCAATCCCACCACAAACCAATACCTTTGACGTATCTCGTCGCCCGGATGCAGCATTGTCCTGCTCTTGAGCAGCAGGCCAGTAGCGATGAGCCAATTCGTATGTCCAAAAGTAAAAGCCATAGCCGATGCTATCCCGAAGCGCTGTGACAACCCCGCCATAGTAGAGGCCCTTCACACCCTCTCTCCTCCATATCTGCTTCAAAATCGCCCAGCTCGATGTGGCTGGCGTGGACATTTGTGCCCGGCATTTGATTAACTCGGTTGGAGCGCTGACTATCCATACTCCCAGGCCGCTCACTGCTCCGGCTGTCCATGTAACCCACCTGGCATCCGGGGTTGATGCCACCTTTTTCAGAATTGCTTCGGATCGGTTGTATGAGTAGAACAGCAGCGCATTCAGAGCCCCGTACCCGAATATGGGAGCGGCAGTGCCTTTCATAAAGGCCACCGAGCTCTGGCTATATAATTTCCGGGCAACATTGCTTCTCGTTTGTTGGTGTACTTTTTCAATGTCGAGAGGGTTGCCTACTACAATGCCGACTATTCCGCTGAGATAGCCAGCCCAGAAATCAGCCGACATGGTGAGGATCTTGGAGTTTTTGTTTATTGACAAGTGCTAGATTGTAAGTTGGATGAAATATAAGCGACATATTACCTAGTGGTAGTAGAAACTATCACATGCAAACTTAGGTTCTACACTAAGTCTATTCTTATCTCTATTCTTCACCTTTCTCACACATGCGATAAAATTGTCCGTACAAGTCCGTGTCTACTACATAATCACATGTAGCTCAACGAGCTCAATCCTCGAGAGGTATGAAGCATTATGTGTATATTCTATTGATATGCCAACGTGGAGCAGATAGCAATTAAATAACACTCTTAACATCGTCCAGCTGCCACCCGTCTTTGGTTTGTTTAACCTTCCTCTCCTGCTCTAATTTGGCAAGCATCTGTAAAACCCCACCACAAGCTGCCATGTGTAAATCCTCACGCACATCCTTATAAACCGTTTTAACTATGTCCATTGCCGTCCAGATTTTGCTATTGTCCGGGTTGCTGGCCCTCATTACTTGCAAAACCTCTTCCTCTCGCTGGCGGCGGTGCTCGATATATTCGCTAATCTTTCCCAGTCCATCCTCAACTACAGGCCCATGGCCTGGATAAATTTGCCCAGAAAAGAGTGTCTTCATTTTGCTCAGACTCTGGAGATATGTAAACAGATCCTCAAACACAGCAGTGCCCTGTCCAAGTACATTATCACCCGCAAACATTGCATCTTCTTCGGTAAGCACAAACACCATGTGGTCTTTTGCGTGACCGGGAGTGTGCCAGGCCGTTAAAGTCGCATCTTCGACTTGAAAATTATCGCCACTCTGAATCGGCAACTGTCCATCATCGGGGCTGTTTTTGAAAACCTGTACTTGAGGGAAAGCATTGACAAGATCCGTAATGCCGCCGGTGTGGTCATGATGCCAATGTGATATCACGGCCAACTTCACTGTCGCATTTTCTTGGTCAAGCGTTTCCTTGAGTGTTTGTATCCAAACTGGACGTCCTTCTCCTGTATCAATTAAAATACGAAAGCGGCCAGTACCAAGCAAGTAGGTGTTAGTGCCCTGCAGCGAAAATTTGCCTGGGTTGCCGCCAAGGATCCGGATACAGCGTGGGCTCAGGCGCTGCACCATAGGAAGGGTTACAAGAGAAGCTGCCATGGTTCGGGTTGTCCTTTCTTTCAGTCACTTTCAAGTGGTAGAGACAAGCGCAATTTCATATATCATAATGGCAAAGCGATGAGAGGGTAGGTAGGTTTAATTCGCAGGTTTGTATATGCATGTCACCGAGGTTGGGGGCTTGTTACATTAGTAACGCGGGCCGAGGTTCTAGATCTACAGGTAGGTACAAGGTAGGCACCTCGAAGTGCATACACATAACAAATTTGAAACTTCAGGTCTTTGCTATGTAAAAGCCATAAAGAACCCCCCTTTTCTTCTTTTTTCTTTTCTCTCTTATTTCTATTGCTGACGAAAAAGAAGGATATACTACAGCCATGTCCTGTCTTATATCGTGCCAACTACCAGGTTGTACCAAGGTGTCCTTGTTCAAGGTTTATCGATAAGCACTGGGAAGGTACCTCCCCTGCTCGTTCCGTCATTGACGAGAGATCTCCCACTGTAGTAGCAAGGCTGCCAATGTTTGCGCTAGGCAGCTAGCTGCCACGTTATTCGCCAGGAGGACCCATGAAGTAAGGCTGCATTGCATGTACGCTATCACCACCACCTTGAGCCACCTTGAACCGCCTCTGAACAACTTCAGATCTGAAAGAGTTGCATCCCTCAATACCTCACTTCGAACGGTAGCAAAACGTCACGGCGCTACGCACTCTACCGCTTGTCAATCGCTCAACCAAAGTTGACATCCAAGCTCCAAGCTGCGGCTGACCACCGTTGGTCGCTACGTCTCCAATATGAACACCGACAGCATCTCCGATTTCCTTGCGGAGCAACGAGACGCAGCTCCAGAGGAGCTCCAGCCTCTTATCCTCAACTTCGAGGACTACTGGGAGCGTAAGCTGTGGCATCAACTCACAGACGCCCTCGTCGAATTCTTCAACGATGAGGGCAGCGCCGCCCAGCGCTTGGCCTTCTACAATGTCTTCATCCTCAAGTTTGCCGATAAAATCAACAAATTGAAGCTGGTGATGCTAGCCCTCAAAGCCGCAACACAGTGCAAAGGTTTGTTCCCAGCCTCCTTGAACCCAAAGCCATCCGCGGGCCCTACTGACAATATGTGGAAGATGACCGTGAACGTTTGGCTTTCCTGCAGTCCGTAGTTAAGAAGGTGGACACAGAGGATTCCCAAGATGCGCTTGTATTTGCTTCTGTTGCAGTGGCCAGGGTGAAACTAAGCCTTGGCGAGCTGGAGGATGCGAAACAAGATCTAGACGCCGCAGAGAAAATACTAGACTCATTCGACTCTGTTGAGGCAGTCGTACATGCAGCGTTTTACGACGCCAGTGCCAACTACTATCAGGTGAGTCTTCTCATTACCTTTTCGAATGCCACCACTAATCCTGCGGTTTGTTAGCGAAAGATGGACTTCGCAAACTACTACCGAACTGCCCTCCTCTATCTTGCCTGTATCGACCTGTCATCGCTCTCTGACGAGGAACGACATCGAAGAGCCTACTACCTAAGCGTTGCTGCTCTAGTATCTACTAGTATCTATAATTTCGGCGAGCTTCTACTCCACCCCATTCTGGACACCCTGGGTCGGAGTGAGGATGATGCTTGGTTGCGTGACCTCCTCTTCGCCTACAACCGGGGAGATCTTGCTGCCTACGACCTTCTTTCAGATAACATTGCGTCTAACAAGCTGTTAAACGACAATTCGGACAGCCTCCGACAGAAGATATACTTGGCAGCTTTGACGGAAGCTGTATTTCGCAGACCACCGCATGACAGAACCATGACCTTTGCTACTATTTCTCAAGAGACCAAAGTTCAACCCCAAGAAATTGAGCATTTGGTGATGAAGGCTTTGAGCCTGGGCCTTTTGCGCGGAACAATCGACCAAGTAGGTCAGATTGCACACATTACTTGGGTGCAACCGAAGGTACTCGACATGAAGCAGATCGAGAGTATGCGCCAACGACTCCTCGAGTGGGATTCAAACGTCAACCAGCTGGGGAACTGGATTGAAGCGGCCGGCCATGATGTTTGGGCAGCATAAGCATCACCACGATGAGATGCCAGTCAATGGAGTTTGCAAATGCTCTTAGAGAGGTTGTATAGTATACCACAAATACGCACTGCAATTCTATTGAACTCTTAAATAGTGTACACTCCTTGGTCAGACAACGTGATATATCCAAAACGCATTCTAACAAAGAAGAGAGATCCATCCCTGTTATGGCAGGGTCTATTATATATTTCTCAAAGTCATAGCTATAGTCTTCGCGGAAAACGCGGGCACCCTTCATATCTTAAAAGTAGAACTAAGAGTGTTTGTTGTGCCGATGAGCCATGCAGGCCACCAAACGCACCAAATAATGATTGGTGTGTACATCCCCCACACATTCCACCCCAAACTCGCAGCTTTCAACACTTCAGACATAGTAACACCACTGGTCCATGCTGCAGATGATATAACAACAGGCGGTGAAGTTATTATCAATAGGATTACAAGGAATAACCTAGTGACCAGGTTCTTGGTCGGTTGGATGAAAGTAAGAGGGCTTGCCAGAAGCCCAACCAGAAAAGCGAGCGAGAAATTGAGCGTACTAAGCGTGGCAAGAGATACGCCTAAAATCAGCAGTGAGAAGGACTTTGTAAGTTGAAAGAACTGCGCAGTAGGCTTCTGTACTGAGGCGATAACGAAAGAGAAGATTGCAGGAAGAGCAGTGGACAAGACGGAAAATAGCAAAAAGGCCAATGGTAACGTCTAGTCATAGAATGATAGGTCAGCACTCAGAATTCAAGATCTACTATAACCATAAGTTTGGTGTTTCAGCGTACCTTAATACCAAGGTGGTTGAAAACGAATAGAGGAATGGCAGAAATGGAATGGCATGTCGCAACGAGAGCAAGCGGCGAGAGAAGGTTACGCTCAACTGTAGGAGGAGATGAAGGCGTCGTTGTCGAAACTCCTTTGCCTTCTGAAATGTCGCCCTTTGGCTTGTCGGTAGCTTCTCTCTTTGCGATGGGTTGCCCACTCTTTACCCAAAGAAAGATGGCCATAATAGTGAAGTTGGCAGCAACCAGCATGGCACTGGGCAGATATGTGCCTATGCTAACAAAACGATTCTTCTGCATGAGAAGGTAGAAAAAGAAGCTCTGATGCAAATGCTCCAACAGGTTGTTGAGACTCCTGAAAGATCCTTCTACAACTCTACCCATTGCCATCTCATCGTGCCATCCTTCGCCAGCGGGCTGTAAGGTTATAGCGTCCACATGATAGGGAATGAAGCTGCTATGGGGTCCCGTTGGATATCCAAGGCCTTGATAAAGCATACCTCGGAGCATCGTTTGAAGTCGATCCTGGTAGCTGTCTGTATGGCCAGCCATTTGCTGGACGGTAGTTTCAATGCCCATCTGGCCGCCTGCAATGTTTACAATCGAGTTGATGAGGTCGAGATTAGGCAATTGACCATTCGTACCGTCGTAAATGATGTGGAGTTCATGATACCGGTGCTCAAAAGGGTAGTCAATCGCAAGAGCTCCCTGCAGCGCACCAGACTTGAGAGGCAACGGCGCAATATACTTTGAATCATGGGCATCATGATAGGCATCAACCCAGGCTTGCGTACCCGTTGTGCTATCTGGAGGTAGAAGGAGAATGATATCCTTGGACCATAAAGACCAACCTAGGTATTGTTAGTTGGATTGGGATGTGTAAAGCTCGAGCTTCATTGGCGACTAACGTTTGAAATAGCGAGCCAACGTGAGGACGAGCGCAACACCATTACGATTGAGCTGCTCATGTATACTTTTCCATGCAGCCACCAGAACGATGGCTTCGGTTGCGTCCCCTCGCGGAGCTTGCAAAATACCGTACACATTCTCCCCACTGTATATCTCTCCCGCAGAGTGATAGGTATAATTTTGTCGACCAACCTTGACTCCAAAGCCAGTCAGGATGGATTCCAGCTTGTCATTGACCCTAGTTTCCGTGTTAGCCTTCTGTGTGCCGCGGAAATCGTCCCTCCAGCTGGGAAAGGCCACTGACTCGAAGTTGTTCTTGCTAGCAAGCAAGTCTACCTCATGCCTGAATGCTCTGAAAATGGATTGTTCACTACCCCCAAAGTATGTATGCACCTGGCCAGGCAAGAGAGCATTCTCTGATACGTAGGTTCGTCTCGAGTAATCGTCCAGGGGCAGTAGGAGGAGCCAAACAACACCAATGGCGATGCAGAAGGCAGATATGTATGGAGGTATTTTAAGCAGTCGAGGGTCGCGACGCAATGACAGCGCTGTAGCTACACAGACAAGAAAGTTAGCGCATTGGCTACGTTGCAGATGTAAGAAACACATACAGAGCAGTCGTGGCATCTCAGTTGCAAATCGCGCCAAGAATAAATTTACCACAAATTGCTCGATCTGAATTGAAGGGCGAGTGAGTGCTGGCCGTGAAATTCGGAGAGAGAAGAGCGCATGAGGAATGGGTAAAATCAATCCATAGCTTGGCCCAGCACTGGACACTAGCTAAGATGTATCTCCAGGGTCCAAGCTGAAGACATTCCCGAGGTGGACCTGCGTTTTAGATTGATTATATAACCCCCCCAAAAACAAACGCATAAATTCGTACGAATTATCATTCAACAGACAACTTTATATAGCAGCTTATAATTCTGTTACAACTGGTCTTTCTCATTACATCTGAGGAAAAGAGATTTATTAATATTACTATGTCATTATAATTATAACTGTTTATGAGATTTCTCTATGTCATATTACTTCCGTCCCCGAGGAAATAGAAAGAGGAACGTCTAAAGGGTGGGTTCGGAAGAGTCGTAAGTTAGATAGTCTTGTTCGTTGATTTTCGAGTCATTATCTTCGTAATGGCATGTCGAATTGTGATTCCTGCCTTTTCAATGTCCTTTTTGGACAGCGCAGAAGTGACGCACACTTTGAGGCTTGGCTGGAGTGTCCAATCTCCATCCTTCGCCCCCATGGCATTCGCATAAGGCCTTGTCTTCAGTCGCGTGATCATAACACCGTTCGCGAGAGACTGTTGGTTGTTAGCTATCAGTATCGTGCAACAAGTGAAAGGGTGTATAGGGAAAGGGGAGCATATACCTCTTCGACGCACTCCATCAGGATTTTCTCTTGATCATCCACGGTCAATCTCCTTGCCTTGATGACTTCGGGTTTGAGTGCCAGGAGCAAGATAGGATTGTCCAGCGAGCTGGTGCACACAACCCAATCGCTACGCGGGTCAAGCTGCGCTCTCAAAGCTCGGATATTCTCTCTGCACTGAACAAGCACGTCGGGATTTGACTGCAGTAGTTTCACAGATTCGCTTGCTGTCATGGCCAACATGGCTGGTAAGGCAGCAGAGTAGGTGTAAGCAGAGGAAGTGATGCGCTGGTGCACAATGACATCTTTGGATCCAGCACAGAACCCGCCTCCCGCGCACAGGGGGCCAGAGAGTGATCCAATAATCATGTCCACTTGTTGCGGATCGACGTTTTGTGCTTCAGTAAGGCCACGACCAGTTCGCCCCAACACTCCGAATGACCAGGTTTCATCCAAAATAATTCGAAACTTGTACTTTTCCTTCAGCTCAACCAATCGGGGCAGGTCAGTCACATCACCGGTCGTCTCAAATAAGCCTTCCGTAACAACGAATCGACGTGTCAGTTTACCAGATTTTGCCTGCTCATTTACAACAGATTTCATCACTTTCTCCAGATCACCCATGTCTCCGTGTTTGAACCATCTGATGTTGCTCCTTGAGATCTGTAGGCCTTTGCGGATGGAATAATTGGCAGCAGCATCGGCAATAATCACATCTCCGCGCTTGCAAAAAGATGGAATGACACTTGATACAGTCGAGAAGGTTTGTGCATAAACAATGCAGGCTTCCGTGCCGAGAAATGAAGAAATGTCGGCCTCGGCTTTCTCGTGAACGTCCTGAGTGCCATAGAATTGAGGAGGTCCACAAGGGCCAACTCCATATGTCCGCAGGGTTTGGATTGCCTTCTCTTTGATTTGGTCGTTGGCATTAAAGTTATAGAAGTTATAGGATGCCAGGTTAATAGCAGTGCGTCCATTGGACAATTTGACTTTGGGGCCCGTCGGTCTGAGTCGTGGATCAATATACCGCAGCATCATTATTAGACGGCATGAACGTACCCTACGATAACCGGAAGTTTTTCATTCTCGATCTCTTCAATGAGAGTTTGGTCTGCTACAAGCGGTTCGGGAGTCCATTCGTCAATCAATTCCTCGATTTCCTGAAGCCATAGATAGTCAGTAATAGGTACCATTGGCGAATTCACCGGAGACTTACGCCTTCCCGCAGCTTGACAAAATTCTGCTTGTGAGTAGAGTACGAAGGAGACATCAGGTACCGTATGAAGAACAAAACGAGTATCAATTCAATGGCAGATCGAACGGGGTCATTTTGGTAGCTGGATTGGATGTATCGGGCCAGCATAGCCGAGCCGGGAAGTTTCTGGAAATTAGACGATACCACATGGGCAATTTCGCCAAAGCGAACCTGGAGAGTATCGAACTCCATTGTGATTAGCCCGCCGGTCGTGAGCAGTCGATCTTGGTTGACTCTGGAGTGCCAGGAAAGATGTAAATGGTCAAAGGCCGAGCTTGAACAGCAAAAGGATAAATAGTGCAAGACGCATTGCTTAGTCATAGTTGCCGTACATATAATGGAATACAAATCGCAACTAGCAAATATTACCATATTAGCTAACGTTAAAACATCATTACTTTGCAAATTATACGTTATTAATCTGTTTACTTCAACATAACACTCAATATGCAAATATTTAACACATTTTTGTTGATATATATAGATGCATATATCCTAAATATAGATTTCCATGTATTGGCACTACTCCCTCTCTTCGTATATCTACCACTCTAGTACTCCCTAAAGCAGGCACGTATTCTTCTAGTGCGCACCTAGCATTCTTCTTCACAACCTTATTTCTTTTCTCTAATGTAGAATGGCCCTTTTAAGAAAGCTGTCACGGCCACTCTTTCTTCCGCCTGTATTGCATAGCCGACCGCTGCAGAATATCATTCTAATTGCTTCTTGTCTTATCTTATTAATATTCTTTCTGTATAGTCTCAGAGAACCAGAGCCAACCCAATTGCTACCGTATCAAATTTATCCACAGACCAACGACTCCATACATCATACGGTGACGGAGTTTCTTCCCGCCTCTGTAGAAACCGGAAAAGATTCGACTCGAGAACTTTGCGATTCGTTTCCTAAACATGTGTTATCAAGAATACAGCCAGTTCTCAAGACCGGCCATGGCGATAACAAGGAAAAACTGAACGCGCAGATGGACAGCACCAGCGCTTGCTTTACGCCCGATGAATTGATCATCTTTTCTGATCTCGAAGAGAAAATCCGGGATCATCATGCTATCGACATTTTGGCCCATCTGCCTAGCGCTCATTATAATGCTACGACATTCAAGATGTGGGAGGAATATCTAGCCCAAAAAGAAATGCAAGCGAACGGTGTATTGGACACTGCAGCACAGGTAAAGCACATAAATGGATGGGCGCTGGACAAGTTCAAATTCTTACCTATGATGGAAAGAGCTTGGGCCATGAAACCGAATAGAGACTTCTACGTCTTTTACGAAACAGACACGTAAGTACACTCTCGTATTGATTGGCCTGCTGTCTCATTGACGTCGTCTCTCCTAGTTATATTTTCTGGGACAACCTCTTCCGATTTCTTCAAACGTACAACCCAGATGCAAACGTTTACATTGGCTCACCATCTCCTGGACGCCGTGATCCCAAACGGGGAGACCAAGGCACCCTCTTCGCCAACGGGGGCCCTGGATATGTGATCAGTCGAGGCGCTATGAAGACCTTGTTACAGCGCACTACTGGTCCATATGGACAGTATACTGACGACCCGCTGTCCGTAAAATTCAGTTATCTAAATCATGATGATGAGTGTTGTGGCGATAGCGTTCTGGGCTGGGTGTTATGGGAGCTTGGTATTCCTATGCATGGACACTGGCCTATGTTTAGCGATTACGGCCTTCATGATATTCCCTTCAATGATCAGCATTGGTGCCAGCCGCTCATCACTCTACACAAAACATCACCAAAAGATATGGTTGATTTGTTCAGCTGGGAGTTTAGCCAACGGAAATCCCAGGTCAGTAACGTTCCGTGCATGTTTCATACAACTATTTGCTCCTTCTTCTACCGAGTACGGGCAAGTAATGTTGATCTGCTTCATAACTAACAAACCGACAGCGCCCATTGCTATATTCAGATGTATGGGAATTCCATAAACCAGGCAGTGTTCCATCGCGTGAGAACTGGGATGGTGGCCGCTTTGATGCGTTTGAACCACCCGCTGAGGTTGTGATTGAATCATCCGAGCAATGTAGCCGTGCTTGTAGCGATGACGTGGGCTGTTTGCAATGGAAATGGGAGGGGAGAGACCGGAAAAAGTGTACTCTCTTAAGATCATTACAGCACGGAAGGGCACGAAAGGCAGAGAAGGGCGATGGGGATGAAGAAGCCTGGGTCGATTATACCTCGGGGTGGGTAGAGGAGCATATAAGGGAATGGAGAAAAAAACAAGATTGTGGTATAGTTAAATGGGTTGGGGCAAGTGTAGAAAGGAAATTCTAAAATAAATTAAAATTAAAAAAAAAAAAAAATTAAAAAAGAGTATTATTATTTAGGTAGTATGTTTTTACTATTAAAGCAATACTTAAAGTACTTTGAAAATATTAGTAAAATAATTACTTTTTGAATATTAAAAAGAAGCTTCTTAAATAAAATAAATTAATATTATAAAAAATAGTTTTTAAATTACTATTATTTTATAATTTAAAATACTTTTTATTTTATTTTATTTTATTAATTTAATATTAGTGGGATATTATATAATTGTTAGATAAAATTATAGTACTTACTTAATACTCCGTTTCCCTAGTATAAATAAGTTCCTTTCTTCTTTAGGTCTTAACCTTAAATAGTTATATAATATATATTAATTAATTACTAATTTCTATAGTTATAAGCTTAATATATATAATAAAATAAAAAATTAAAACCTTTAAGTAATAAGTATAAAAGTTAAAGGAAATTAAAACTATTACTAAAGTTAAAGAAAAAAATATTTAACCTAAAATTAAATATTATAATTAAAAGTCCTTTAGTAAAAAAGTAAATTTTAAAAACTATAAAAATATTATAATTAATATATTTAACATATTAATTTAAGCTTTTAATAGTTTTATAAAAGCTAAGGAAAAAATTAAGTTTATAATATTAAAAAGTTAGCTTAATTAAAGGTTTTTTATAAAAAAAATATAATTTATAGTTAAATATTTAAAAATATAGTAATTTATTAACCTTTAAAGAGAGGATATTTTTAAGGCCTTTAAAGAATTATTAAGCTTTTTTATAAATAAAGATTATTAATAAATTTTAAAGGAATTTAATTTTAAAGTAATACTTATAATAAACCAGGTCCTATAGGTACTATAGGTTAGCTATTTCTAAGGGATAAACCTTAGAGTAGTTTTATAGTTTATATTAGCAAAGTAATTAGGTTAGTAAATAGGTAATTTTATTACTAGCTGTAAAGTAAAGTATTTAAATATTTAATTTAATTACTATATATATATATAATAATAATAAGCTATTTAAGTATTTTAATAAATAATATAAAGTAAACTTATATACTTAGTTAGTTAGGCTAGATTATTACTAAGTAGTAATAATTTTATTATAAATTATTTTAAAGTTTTAATAATTTATTTATAAATTATTAAATTATTAAATAATCTAATAATTTATTTTTAATTAATTAATTAGTCTAATATTTATTTAAAATTAATTACTTTATAGATTTATTATTATAATTATAAAAGTTAGATTATAATATAATATCCCCTTTTTATTAATTTTATCTTTAAGACTTTATTATAAATAATATATTTTTTATATATTTATAAATAAGTACTTTTTATTTTATTTTTATTATTTTATTTAGCTAACTTACTTAACTATAATAAATTATATTACTAAAAGTTTTTATTTAAAATATAAAAGTAAAAGAGTTTTTTTAAATTTATTTTAAAAAATATTAAAAAAATAAATAAATATTATTCTTTTTATATTTTAAAAAAGTTTAATAAGTATTTACTATCTTTAAATAATTCTTTATAATATTTAAATTATATATAACTTAATAAATTATATTATAATATAAAAGGTTTAATTATTAATTAATTAAATTAAGTATTTACTTAATATTTTTAATTAAAAAATAAATTAAAATTTACTAAAAATACTTTAGTTAAATTAGTTATAAAAGTTTTTTAATTATAAAAATAAAAAAAGATTTAATATAAGTAAATATATTATACTATTATATAAGGTATTATTAATTTAAATAAGTTAAATAAGGTTAAGTATAAAAAAGTAAAAGCTATTTATTAAGCTATAATATTATTACTTAATTTAATTAATTCTATAACTATAAGTTTTATAGTAAATATTATAAATTAAGGTATTTTTAATTTTTTTTTACTAAACTTAAACTTTAGTAAAAGTTATTTATAAAAAATTTTAAATATTTAAAGTTTTTAATAATTTACTATAAGTTTTTTATTTTATTATAGTTTTTTTTATTTTATTAAGTATTTAATTTATTAAGTATTTTTATTAAATTTTATTATTTTAAGTTTTTTAACTTTATATTTAAGTTTTTTACCTTAAATAATAATTTTATTTTATATAA